ATAATACACCATAACATTACTAGGTTTTTTTATGTAATCCTAATATTTGTTTGCAGAATCTCACATGCAATTTTTCGATGTCTGGTGCGGCATGGAAGCCCCATACTTCTGCTCCGTAACTTAAAACACTATTTACATAAGTATCAAAAACAGACAATTGAGTTTCTATATTAAAATATTTTTTCTTACAGACATTTAATAATGCAAACAAAGCTTTTCTCCCCTGGTCAGCAACTTGCTTTTGAGTATGTCTAAATTTTCCGTTAAAATTCAATAGTACACCAAGGTAATTGAATTGATCGACAACATCCAATTTATTTCCTTCGTAAAACCATATTTCATTTCCCCTTAATATCCCTCCATTTCTAAACACGACAATTTTTGTTTTCCCAGTATTTACGGTCAAATCCCATTTTTTGGTATAATTTGCAAGAGAGTCTAACATTGTTTGCAAACCCTCTGGTGTTTCAGATATAATCACCATATCATTTGCATACATAAGTAAAAACATATTGATATCCTGTATTTCAATAGATGGACAATTATCTGATAAAAACTGCATATCACAATCGTTTACATATATAGTAAACAAAAGGGGTGATAATATTTCCCCCTGAAATAATCCGTTTTCAATATCAAAAAATTCGGAGAGAGTACTACAAAACGCGTCGGTACACCTTAATTACTACCTGTGTTAGTTGGAGGATCGGTTATAAATGGCCTTTGGCTATGCCATTCATAGGTAACACCTCTGGGTAATTAGGTTACCTGTTAATTCACAGGTAGGTATACGTATCGAAAGTGCCCTTTGGCTATGGTATTAAGTGGTAAGACCTACAGGCAATTAACAAACCTTTTAATTCACAGGTAGGTACTATTCCCACTCAGTAGTATATTCGATATACCCACATGTGAAGTACTATTTAGGTGCTTCATTTGTGTATTACTGTCTTTCAGCTTTAAATTACATTGACTGTTCGTAGTTGATGCAGGGCCCGGAATTATAGATTTCTTGATGCGGGTTTGAATTCATAACTGATGTCCTTATTTGTCGAGTGATGATCATGTCATAACTTACATTGTTATACATATATAAAGAGTGTGTCATAATGGGTACACGTAATGAACAGGATATCGCATAATGTACCACTATGACGTCACTCTACCCGCGTTCATAATGTGCATATTCGCATATAGAGGGGCCATCACATGTCCTGTCCATTCTCTCCCTTTTCTATACCTTCAGTCCATACTTTATCCCTTCTACTCATTTTCCCGTCTTTTCTTCGTCTGCTGGATAAGCGGACGTAAAATCAATCAATCAAGCAATCAATCGTTTGAGTTTTAGTTAAAACATATTTATTGCCAAAATTAGACAAGGGATTAGGCACAAGTTATAACAACTTATCAACGCCTTCTCCCAATATACATTTGAAATGACATTACAATAATGACAATAAATATATACAATTGTTATGACAATTTGAACTCAAAATCTCTTGCTGGGTTTAATAAAGTTTTGCACAGATCTAAAAATGTTTGAGTTAAGGTTCACGGAAAATTGTGAATTGCCAAACGAAAGAATTTCTAAATTTAACTCAACATTCAAATTAATCAAATTTTGAACCAAAATACGTCTTTCGTTTGTAAAAAGTTGACATTCCATGAAATAGTGAAAGACATTCTCACAAGGATGATCACAATTACAAGATGCACTCTCAACAAGGTTAACTCTACAAAGGTCATAATTAAGGGAACTGCACTGGTGTCGGAGCTTAGTATGCAAGATATTAAGTTTACGATTTCCGATTTTAAAGTAAATAGGTGGACTTGACTGACTATTTGATGTTAAACAGGATTTGAATGAATAAATAGAGGGTAGGGATCGAACCGAATTGTCTAAGTTATTCCAATAGTGAAGAGCAGAAGGTAGAAAAGAATTAGTAAGAGATAATCTGAAAGGAGGAATCCTATAGTTATTATTGTTACGTAAAGCGTAACGATTATTTTCTCCAGATAAAGGCGGCAAAAGATGATTGAAGTAATCAGGAGTTAATTTATTATGCATCTTATACAATAGTTGAAGTTTCCTCCGTTTTCTGCGATTAGATAAAGTTTCAAGACTAGTTTCGTAATATAAAGTATTAATAGGAGTATATGAAGGAAGTTCTAATATAATGCGAGCAGCACAAGCATATTTTAAAACACGTAAAATAAAAGTCTTGTAAATTTTTAAAAGAGCATCCCTACTTAATAAGAGTTTCAGTTTCCGTAAGACATTAATTTTCTTCATAACAGAAGTGTAAATTCCATTTACATGATCCCCCCACTTAACTTTGCATTCGAATTAAAAGTTACCCCTAAATGTTTATGACAGTCTGTAAAATTTAAGACTTTCCCATCAAATTCTAAATCTAAGTCTTCTTCGATATCGATTGAATTCGAAATAAATAATACATCTGTTTTTGACCACGTATTTAAGATCTCTAGGTCTCTATTTAAAGTTTCTTGAATTTCTAAACAAGATGAAGATGACTTAAGTAATGATGTATCGTCTGCAAAAAGACGAGACGTTGATTCAAAAATATCTGCTATGTCATTAATAAATATAAGAAATAAAATTGGGCCAAGAATAGAGCCTTGCGGAACCCCTGCCTCAATTACACCTACAGAAGAATGTGAACTGTTTAAAAATACCTTTTGGTGTCTCTGAGACAAATAATTTTTTAACCACATAAGCAATTCTCCTGAAATTCCGTACGATTTTAACTTCACTACCAGAACTCTATGCCAAACCCTATCAAAAGCTTTGGATATGTCAAAGAATACAACACACGTATGTTTTTTTTTCTTCAAGTGCGATACAAATTTGGTGATATATATCAATGAGTTGATACACTGTAGAATGCCCATGCATAAAACCAGACTGATATTTGTAAAACAAAGAATTTTCTATAAAGTAGTTGTACAAATGTTTAAAAATCACTCTTTCAAAAACTTTACCAACGAAATTGGTCTATAATTCGAAGGAGAATGTCTGTCACCCTTTTTAAACAATGGCATGCTATTAGCTAATTTCCATTTATTTGGATAAATCCCTGTTGATAAAGACATATTAAATATTATTTCGAGCGGAGTACAAACAGTGCGAGCAGTATTTCTTAGCATATGGTGGCTGATTTCATCCCCACCCGAGGCCTTGCCGAGCTTCAATATCTTTAGAACATCGCGTATTTCAGTTGAATGTAATCTAATTGAACTAATATTTTTGTCAGTTTTTGGCTCAATAATCGGGACATCCGTGTTACTGTCATCTACTCTAGTAATACTACAAAAATAGTTATTTAGTAATTCAGCTTTATCTTCATCTCTAGTAACTATGTCATTAGTAATAGGATCGACTAAGGAAGGTATAGGTTGTGAAGTATCAGACGTTTTAATTAACCTTTTAATTAATTTCCAATAAGACTTAGGATCAGAAGATGAGTACCCATCAATAATATCATAAACATTTTCATAAAAAGTAACACGTGCATGCTTTTTCATATTATTTACTTTGTTTCGCTGTGATTTGAATTTATTGATATCTACCAAACGTTTGGTTGACCTCGCTATTTTATGTAATCTATCCCTAATTCTTAAGTTTTTTCTAAGCTCAGAGGTCATCCATGGCTTATCATTAGGTTTTATATTTACTTCTTTACTAGGAATACATTCATTGGCAAAAGATAGATAAATGTTCGTAAATCGATCACATGCTAAATTAACTGAGTCACAATTATAAAAAGTTTCTATCCAATTATGATTAGATATAAGTTCATTAAATTTTTCAAAATTTGCACTCTTGTACTGCCAAACCTTACGTTTATAGACTGGTTTAAAAAGACAAGGAAGATTTATGGAAGCAGTACAACCATCATGGTCACTTAATGATCTATCAACAGAAATTACAGAAGAGTCAATACAAGAAATAGAGTCAGATAATAGTATAGGATCTAGTAAGCTAGATCTAGTACGTCCAGTACGAGTAGGATCTTTTATAACATTAGTTAGTGATAAGGAGTTAATGATGTCAAAAAGAACGTGATTATTTGAAGCAGTGAAGAAGTCAACATTTAAGTCCCCTGTTACTATAACATTTGGAGATATATCAAGAGCATTATTTATAGATGACCTTAAATTTTCCCAAAACGGTAGGATAGAGCTTTCTGGTCTATAAGCTGTTCCAATAATGTAAGTCGAGTGGGGTAGGCTAATTTTTGTCCATATTACCTCATCACCAGGATATTCCAATTCTGGCAAACGATCAACTTTCAAAAGATTATTTATATAAACCAAAATACCACCCCCGCAAAATTTCTATCAAGTCGAAAGGGAGAATGAAAACCATCAATACATAAATCATTAGTAGTAACCTGATCATCTAAATGAGTTTCGGTAAGACACACAATGTCCTCATTCATCTACTATGTCCTCAATATAGTCTAATTTGTGTCTAACGCTCCTAATATTTAAATGAAATATAGAAAGCTCGCCAAGTCTCGGACCAGGACTGGACTCAACATCCATATGCTGTAGTAATAGCATTAACAAAATCACCGAAAACTCGAAATTTCGGAAACAAAAAATAAATATAATATTTGAATAATCAACCAATAAAGATAGCTATGCAGTTGATGAAGTAATTTTAACCAAGAATTTAAACCAAAACAAAAAGTGATAAATGACTTCAGCACACATCTTCCGTAGACCTTAGTTTGAGTACCGAGAGAGACTAGTTAGGCTACACATATTACTGCATCATATGACCGTAAAATATGAAATTATGAAAAATCGGGATCAAAATGTTTTGTTGGCTGACCCACGGACATAGATCTAAGTCCGTGGCTTGCATACTTTTTAATTCATAAATATACCGAGTAATAAAACATGTCAATTTAAAAACGGTTACATGAGTAGTCAGATTTATCCGCGTTTTACACCCTCCCAGGTTACCGGAAGTTGCTGGAAATAACAATTTCCGGTGCACATGGTTTTGTTATTGACATATGCAATAATTTTTGATGACGATATGTAGAGTTTGAACGAATATTTATCTCGAAAATGGATTTCATAGAAGATGGACAATTCGATGATGCAGAGGAATTAGCAGAAACTGGGTAAAACAAACGTTAAATCAGTTATCCACTGCCGAATCGGACCGTATTTTCTTATACCATTTATGTCATCATTTGATTTAGTATGGCTTCTTACCAGTGTGATTTCTATAGTACTGCATGGCAGTGTGTGCATGTCCCGTGTATTTACAAATATTAAAAAGTGCCGAATCAATATTTATTATAATTAAGTTTGTTAAACCGTATAATATTTAAGGTTTTGTACATGTACAAATTCAATGTAAGACGTACATAAGCTAATCGGGTATTGCAATAACGTTTGCAATACTAGTAAAATAGACCTGAGCCGTATATTACGTATACTTAAACTTAAGACTTTTCCTTTAGTTATTGAATTAATGATAATGATAGTTCCTCAGAAGGATTTATGATTCTAGATGCCTATGGGTGCCTCATGATCAGTAGCCGTGATCGCTAACACGCAGTCATTACTACTGTGTGCAATCAAGTGGATTTCTGGATCTCCCAAGAATTTCAGTCGATCCGCATAGGGTTAGTTAATTGTTATCCCTAAGATGGTAACGGGTTGTTTCGCCCCAAATCCCGTTCGCCCTAAGGGTTGTTTCGCCCCAAAACCCGTTCGCCCCAGGTTGTTTCGCCCTAATTTATTATTTTTTTTTCTTTAAGTCATAAATATCATGTTAAAAGTTAAAAAACTTATCTTTCTCATGAATCCAGATATAATATACGTATAATTGCACATTACAACCAATAATGTTGTTCTTTATAAAATGCACCTTTACATGTTTTACCGTTAAAAATGTAAAATAATAAATACTTATACAACTTCCAACACAGTCTACAAACGAAGTGTAGTTCCATGCCACTGCGTGCGGCCTCCTTGTACGTACATGGCCAAGGAATTTAAATACCTGTCAAAATAGAATATAATGATCAATAATGACACTAAATTAATTTCTCTAAGTAAATAGATACGTATATTTATGACAAGTTACCTACTCAAAATTATCTACTCAAATATGCATATTAATTTTTATTGGTCGGTACTATCAAAACTTCTCAAAATGATCTCCTCCAATTAGCAAAAAACGACACGGACGTGCACCGAAATCAAGTAAAGAAAACATTGTCACATGGCGACGATTATGTGTACACTAGACTAAATGTGTTAACATGGAAAAATAATATTGTTGTATACCCCGCAATGTAATTAAAATTACACCATTTTTGTTTCATTTCACTATTCTTATTTATTTCTAAAATTAATATATATGTTATAATGTGTGTCGGCGTGAAGAAAATAATGTAATCCGTTTTTTGATTTACAGTGTACTTTATAATAACAACACAAACACATTTTTTTTAATAAACTGATTTTAATGATGTGAAAGACTAAGAAGACTTAATTTGTGACTTAAAACAAATAAAAATGAAAAGAAAATACCAAACAATGTTTCGCCCTAAACATTTTGTTTTAGGGCGAAACAACCTGGCGCGAAACAACCTAGGGCGAACAGGATTAGGGTCGAAACATCCTGGCGCGAAACAACCTAGGGCGAACAGGATTTGGGGCGAAACAACCCGGAACCCCCTAAGATGGCACAGTAATTTTCCTCCTTCACAAAAACAACATTTGTGCCCTTAGCAGCTTTGTAATAAAAGTTCTACAGAGCTTATGTTTGTTGTTGACAAAATACATGTCATAAAATAAGATTATTTATGTATTTTATTTATATTATATAGATCGTCTATTAATTTTTACCTGACTTCGATTACCTGACTTCGACAGCTTGAAGATTATGTCTTGTGACAAGTTATGTGTTGAGAATAAAGTTAATAATTAAAGGAGGAGATTCTGCTGATATAAGTTCAGGGGGTAGTTCAATTTGTTCCAATCATGAATGGTTGATTTTCGACAGAAGAATGATTCTTTCCCCACAGAAATGTTAATCTTGTGTACAAGTACAAAATGTACATGTTGTTCCTGACATGTATATATTGGCAATGTTTTATCTGAATGGGTTGATAAAAAAACCATGAACTAAATTATTGTACAATTGTATTACCATATATATATTGATTTTTGTTTCAGGCCCTCTATCACTGATCATCAACCCATAAAAACGTTTGAAGCCAATTTAGAAAGAAAAGGTATGTGTAAGAAAAAGATGGACATTATAAGACAACTTGAACAGGATGGGTTTGGTTTGCAAATATATTGTTAATGAGTAAATGGAGCCTGATTTGGTTCTGATGTATCCTGTCAATGGTATAAAAAAATATTTGGAAGAAAGCTTAATTTCCTTTATCTAAACCGAGAAACTATATTTTTTTTGTAATTAAGTTTATGGTATGACTACCATCTAAACAGGACCAACTTATAACTAGATCATATCTCATAATTTCACACATATATATATATATATGATCTTAAATGAGTTTTCATTCATATTGTATTTATGAAACAAGTGTAGAAGCCTTTGTTCTTTTAAGGTACTTTTAAGGATCTAAGACAGAAAACATCCGGAAGTTTCATAAATATTATATGAAATGAAAAAAATCATGAAAGGTTCTTTTTAGCACTTATCCAAGAATCTATGCAAGTCTTTAACATTGCCATTTTACTTCATTGTCTATTGTCTATTGTCAGAATGTCATGACATCATGTTTTTCATCATCATTTGGATATCATAATGGTTATTATTTATGCGGTAGTGTCAAAAAATATTACAGTAAGTGTATGTTTTCATTGCATAACAATGGGATCATGGGATAAAGATATATTTACATTTTTATTAAAGACTTTGTGTATTATTTAAATATAGAGATACAAAAAATCAACACAGCAAATAATGGTGATTATCCCTAACGTTTTCAAACCTTATTACCATCTTTAGGTGTTTACTTTTTGACGTAATACAATCAATAGAATAGCAATAGCCATTCTATTATGATAATGTTTTTATGTCCCCTTATTCTACTGATTATCTCCCCTTATTCTACTGATTGTCTCCCCTCATTCTACTGATTGTAGTATACTACATCATAGCGTTGAAACCAAGAAATGAAAGGTAATCAAGATCATCTGATGATGGCAATAAGGGCAACAATTGTTTAAAAATGACCTTGATATTGCAGTTACTGAGCTGAAGCTGGATGTTGGCGATGGACCAAGTACAGGTAATACAGGAGACGATGGGTACTGGGAGGAAGAGGATGAGGAGGAAGACGAGGATGATAGTTATGACTGGGATGGAATGACAGGAAACTTCACTAAAAAATATAATTCTGTCACTGCTCACAACCAGCAGGTACTACATGATCCCATACCGTTATAACTATCTGTGTAGATATGGTACTATATGATCTCATACCGTTATAACTATTTGTGTAGATATGGTACTACATGATCCCATACCGTTATAACTATCTGTGTAGATATGGTACTACATGATCCCATACCGTTATAACTATCTGTGTAGATATGGTACTACATGATCCCATACCGTTATAACTATCTGTGTAGATATGGTACTACATGATCCCATACCGTTATAACTATCTGTGTAGATATGGTACTACATGATCCCATACCGTTATAACTATCTGTGTAGATATGGTACTACATGATCCCATACCGTTATAACTATCTGTGTAGATATGGTACTACATGATCCCATACCGTTATAACTATCTGTGTAGATATGGTACTACATGATCCCATACCGTTATAACTATCTGTGTAGATATGGTACTACATGATCCCATACCGTTATAACTATCTGTGTAGATATGGTACTACATGATCCCATACCGTTATAACTATCTGTGTAGATATGGTACTACATGATCCCATACCGTTATAACTATCTGTGTAGATATGGTACTACATGATCCCATACCGTTATAACTATCTGTGTAGATATGGTACTACATGATCCCATACCGTTATAACTATCTGTGTAGATATGGTACTACATGATCCCATACCGTTATAACTATCTGTGTAGATATGGTACTACATGATCCCATACCGTTATAACTATCTGTGTAGATATGGTACTACATGATCCCATACCGTTATAACTATCTGTGTAGATATGGTACTACATGATCCCATACCGTTATAACTATCTGTGTAGATATGGTACTACATGATCCCATACCGTTATAACTATCTGTGTAGATATGGTACTACATGATCCCATACCGTTATAACTATCTGTGTAGATATGGTACTACATGATCCCATACCGTTATAACTATCTGTGTAGATATGGTACTACATGATCCCATACCGTTATAACTATCTGTGTAGATATGGTACTACATGATCCCATACCGTTATAACTATCTGTGTAGATATGGTACTACATGATCCCATACCGTTATAACTATCTGTGTAGATATGGTACTACATGATCCCATACCGTTATAACTATCTGTGTAGATATGGTACTACATGATCCCATACCGTTATAACTATCTGTGTAGATATGGTACTACATGATCCCATACCGTTATAACTATCTGTGTAGATATGGTACTACATGATCCCATACCGTTATAACTATCTGTGTAGATATGGTACTACATGATCCCATACCGTTATAACTATCTGTGTAGATATGGTACTACATGATCCCATACCGTTATAACTATCTGTGTAGATATGGTACTACATGATCCCATACCGTTATAACTATCTGTGTAGATATGGTACTACATGATCCCATACCGTTATAACTATCTGTGTAGATATGGTACTACATGATCCCATACCGTTATAACTATCTGTGTAGATATGGTACTACATGATCCCATACCGTTATAACTATCTGTGTAGATATGGTACTACATGATCCCATACCGTTATAACTATCTGTGTAGATATGGTACTACATGATCCCATACCGTTATAACTATCTGTGTAGATATGGTACTACATGATCCCATACCGTTATAACTATCTGTGTAGATATGGTACTACATGATCCCATACCGTTATAACTATCTGTGTAGATATGGTACTACATGATCCCATACCGTTATAACTATCTGTGTAGATATGGTACTACATGATCCCATACCGTTATAACTATCTGTGTAGATATGGTACTACATGATCCCATACCGTTATAACTATCTGTGTAGATATGGTACTACATGATCCCATACCGTTATAACTATCTGTGTAGATATGGTACTACATGATCCCATACCGTTATAACTATCTGTGTAGATATGGTACTACATGATCCCATACCGTTATAACTATCTGTGTAGATATGGTACTACATGATCCCATACCGTTATATCTATCTGTGTAGATATGGTACTACATGATCCCATACCGTTATATCTATCTGTGTAGATATGGTACTACATGATCCCATACCGTTATATCTATCTGTGTAGATATGATACTACATGATCCCATACCGTTATATCTATCTGTGTAGATATGGTACTACATGATCCCATACCGTTATAACTATCTGTGTAGATATGGTACTACATGATCCCATATCGTTATACCTATCTATATATGTAGATATCTGGTATTGAATACTTTAGAGTTCTGGACTGTGCTTACATTGACCTTATTCCAGCTAGGAAACTCACCCAGTCAAATATTTACTTTTCAGGGTTAAACTACATTCATGTAATCACCTACATTTGTAGCCCTGTGTTAATTTCACCCTCACATGTTAATACTGTATATCATATAGTATCTGGAGTTATGATATTTGATGTCGAGATAAATTTGCCCCCATTAGTATTTACAAAGGGTGCAAATGGGGAAGGTTATGTCATACTACTATGCAATGTGTAAAATATGGAAGTTGAATGGTAATTTTGTCGCCAGTTATAATAAGCTTTTCTCTCTTATAGCCCAATTCAAATCGACAGCCAAACAAGAATCCCGGAAAAGGTGCTAAGCATTTCCAACCAACAGATAAAACCATGCGGAAATATGTAGATAAAATCAATGTTGGTAGGTATTAACATATTACCTTTATCAAGTCCCGAATACCTTTAACAATTAGAATTTGTTCTTAAAAGTACCTAACACTTTATGTAATATGGATGTCTAGTTGAGTCATTTTTTTTCAAACATGGTTTATATAAAGCAACAGGAATCTGAGTTGGTGGAAATTGTCAGTGTTGAATATATACGAGGTGTTCGCAACATTTACTTTAATGGTAGAATTTGACAGAGTTTACGCTGTCGCATTTAGAGTTTGTTTGGTCCATTATTTACAGTCCAATACCAAACATAACTGAACATGTTGTTTTACTTTTTGTCAGGCTTGAGTAACGGTAACATTTATACAGGTCAATCAAAATGACTATTTATAGGATAGTGATATGGTAAAAATGATGACTAAGTCCCTGATCATTTGATATGTGGTGTGTTTTCCATAAGATGGGTCTGTCTTGAAAGGAGGATCTATATATATGTGATATTTATAGACGCATTCCTAAAAGATTATATATGTATATGAATACATTGTAAATATTTAATAAAAGTGATTAAGTTAAAGAGAAGAATTATGTTTCAGTTAATATCAGATTTTGCTTAAAATGTCTTTTGTCTCTGATAACATATGCCGTTAAAGAGGAATGTACAATATCTTTTTGATAAATTGTCATGGAACTAGTATGTGATAACAATATGGAAAGTGAAAGTAAAATTTATTTACAATTATGGTTATTTTGTGTTTTTTTTTGTAACAGAACAATATTCTGGCCCCACCTTGACTAGTTCAGCGATGTCAGGACTGATGAACACTGGAAAGAAAATGAACAACGACAGGTACTGTAATTTTGATCATCCAGGGATCATGGCAAAGTTAGTTACAATAATAATAATAATAATATACAACATTTATATAGCGCCCTATATAATTTGTAAAAGCTTTACAACATATGAATAATAGTAATGGTTATAATTGTGAAAACAAACAACAAAGGCTTGCAATCACTTTCATACATTTAACAAGCAATGTGCACATAATTGAACAAATAAAAGGGTGGTATTTACATGACGTCTTTGCAAAGATTCTAAAATGCAGACGTGAAGAGGTGAGTTTTTATGTCCCTCTTGAACTTGTCAGGGTATTTGACTTCCTAATAGCAGATGGTAAGCTATTCCACAACGTAGCTGAAACCCTTCCAAAGCATCTGTTTCCGTAGGTCACAGTACGAGATTTTGGGACACACAACAAAGATTCTGACTCCAACCGCAGTGATCTTGAGAGACTTAACAGAATTAATTCTGTCCTGAATACAAAGAAAGGGTATCTGTTGTTGTGGATTGAGTTAAACAAACTTTAAATGTGTTAAATGTTACCAGGTAAAAGTATGGATAAATCTCCTTTATACATCTTGTCTAGATAACTTTTAAAGTTATATTTGTATTGCCCCTGCTCCATGATGAATGCTGTATTAATGGTTTCCAGGTACCAGCGTAAGGACAAGGCCGACAGAGCCACAGCCGAGCAGGTGATGGACCCTCGTACACGTATGATACTGTTTAAGATGTTGAGTAAGGGTATTATCACCGAGATCAATGGCTGTATCAGTACTGGGAAGGAGGCTAACGTTTACCACGCCACGGCCAAAGATGGCTCGGACCGTGCAGTCAAGGTCAGTCTACACTTAAGTCACTTACATTGGCAAGATCGTGCCAGGTTTAATTGACGTTTACGGAGAAATTTTCGCTGCCGTTTAATTTCGTAATGAGGGCAAATTTATCATTACAGTGAATATGATTTAATAGCATAATAAACATAGTAATTAAATGTGAAGGGAGAAGTTAAGATTTGGTGAAAATTGATTTCATGGGCAAAGGTATTACAACAGTGTTGAAGGCTTACACGGTGAGATACTTTGTCGGCAAAATCATATCTGATAGAAAAAAGGCCGAGCAGCGGCCTCTTATGTTATAGGAGTAGGGCGAAGGGTGAAAGTTTGACTGGGCGAAAATTTTCCTGTTCGCAGTAAGTGAACATAACAATAGTCCACATTTAGTTCAGTTTATCTATCAAAGTTAACTACCCTTTCTTCAGTTTGTTCGTTAAGTTAAGTCTATGTTTAGTTCAGTTCACTGGTCTAGAACAGTCAAAATTAATATTTGTCTAGTTAAGATGTATATAAGATTGTCAGCAACTCTTTGAAAATCTCAGGAGAAGTTTTGTGATGCGAAGAGAAATAAGAAATGTGTTAATTTTTGCAGGTATATAAGACATCCATCCTGGTGTTCAAGGACCGTGACAAATATGTGACAGGAGAGTTCAGGTACAGTATCGTCATCTCCAGTAAAGACAGTGAAGGACATTATGTATTTCAATTTCTGGTCCGCTTCAGGTGATAAGAGAAACAATTGAGGGAAACAGCCCATTGGATTTCTTATTTATATGATTTAAGTGTACTTATCTCTAGACGTTTAAGGAATTAAGTATATCACAGATTGTCGGGAGACATGAGTTATCTGGAACGTGATAAAATTCTCTGTAAAGCTGAGTCTACATACAAATTTCCACTGTAAAATTATTGAGTGATTTAAAGAAAATTCTACTGCTGTTATATTCAATTTGATGATTATAACCATATATGTATGCCTGAGTATATGTGTACATACCTGTATGTTAATAAGTGAAAGAAGTATCTGTTTCACTGGTACAATATATACTATTTATATGTATGTACAGATTCCGACATGGCTACTGTAAACACAACCCTAGGAAGATGGTGAAGACTTGGGCGGAGAAGGAAATGAGGAACCTTATTAGGTGAACACAAACTTTACCTGGAGTTATTACCATTTATTTCAAATGAATCAGAAAGACATTAAGTGTTATTCATCAAAGACAAGTCCGACTTAACTTCATAAACAAGAGTAAAAAGGGCCTAGATTAACATTTGAAATGGTGTATTCATAACATCTTTCACGGTACGGAACCCAGTTGCTTTACAAATATGTTCTCCAAGATATGCTACTACAGTTCTTAAATATAAGTTATAACTGTCGTTCTGTGTAACAGGATCCATCAGTCTGGGATACTGTGTCCCGAGCCGGTGTTTCTCCGCAGTCACGTCCTCGTCATGGACTTCATCGGCACCGATGGCTGGTAAGTAGGATATTCACCTAACTGACTCTCAGACTGTAGTTTATGGATGCTGTATAACTCAGATCTAATAATACTGTTGGTTACTTTGTTTTTGGAAAATGTTTATTTTATGTGATAGGTTTATTCTTGAGAATTTGTGAAATGACAATAACTAAATTCGTTTCTGCCTGAATAACTTTTTGCAATATTTTTAGGTCACCTGAGCTTTGCTCAAGTGACCTATTCCAATCACTTTCCGTCCGTCGTCGTCCGTCGTGCGTCGTGCGTAAACTTTTACATAATCAACTTCTTCTCAAGAACCAGTGGATGGAATTTTTTCAAACTTGGTCAGAATCATCCTTGGTCAGAATCATCCTTGGTAGATGAGGATACCAAATTGTAAAATTGGGATTCCTACCCCAACCCTAGGGGCCAGGGCGGGGCCCCAAAGGGAAAATTGACCAATATTTCAAAAATGTTCTTCCCCAGACTCAGAGTCCTATACTACAGTCATTTTCTCTGCATGGATGGAAAGATCATCAGGGGCTTTATTTAAATTGTAAATTTCAGGACCCCCGAGCTATCTGTTCTCCCTTGGGGAGGGGGTAAAGTTTACTATAGTTTATATAGGGAAACAACACTTTTGGGTATATTTTGACAATTTTCTGTTGGAAATTATTTTTACTTGGTCAGAATCATCCTTGGAGGAGGAAGATGGTTTTAAATTGTAAAATTGGGATTCCTACCCCAACCCTAGGGGCCAGGGCGGGGCCCAAAAGGGAAAATTAACCAATATTTCAAAAATCTTCTTCTCCAGACTCAGAGGTATTACAGTCATTTTCTCTGCATGGATGGAAAGATCATCAGGGGCTTTATTTAAATTGTAAATTTCAGGACCCCCGAGCTATCCGTTCTCCCTTGGGGAGGGGGTAAAGTTTACTATAGTTTATATAGGGAAACAACACTTTTGGGTATATTTTGACAATTTTCTGTTGGAAATTATTTTTACTTGGTCAGAATCATCCTTGGAGGAGGAAGATGGTTTTAAATTGTAAAATTGGGATTCCTACCCCAACCCTAGGGGCCAGGGCGGGGCCCAAAAGGGAAAATTAACCAATATTTCAAAAATCTTCTTCTCCAGACTCAGAGGTATTACAGTCATTTTCTCTGCATGGATGGAAAGATCATCAGGGGCTTTATTTAAATTGTAAATTTCAGGACCCCCGAGCTATCCGTTCTCCCTTGGGGAGGGGGTAAAGTTTACTATAGTTTATATAGGGAAACAACACTTTTGGGTATATTTTGACAATTTTCTGTTGGAAATTATTTTTACTTGGTCAGAATCATCCTTGGAGGAGGAAGATGGTTTTAAATTGTAAAATTGGGATTCCTACCCCAACCCTAGGGGCCAGGGCGGGGCCCAAAAGGGAAAATTAACCAATATTTCAAAAATCTTCTTCTCCAGACTCAGAGGTATTACAGTCATTTTCTCTGCATGGATGGAAAGATCATCAGGGGCTTTATTTAAATTGTAAATTTCAGGACCCCCGAGCTATCCGTTCTCCCTTGGGGAGGGGGTAAAGTTTACTATAGTTTATATAGGGAAATAACACTTTTGGGTATATATTTTATCCATTTTCAGCAGAAAATTACTCAAACTTAGTCAGAATCATCTTTGGTGAATGAGAGTATTACTTTGGAAAATTGGGATTTCTGCCCCATCCCCAGGGGCTAGGGTTGGGCCCCAAAGGGAACATTAATTTTACCAATATTTTCAAATTCTTATCCTTTGATGACATGACAAGTATTGTATATCACTTAGTTTACATGCTGATTTCCACATCACATCTAAACAATAAAATAAAGCTACCAGTACCTATGATATAACTCAGGTGACCGCTAAGGCCCTTGGGCCTCTTGTTTTAAAATTTTGAGGTAGGCTCCCCTCGGCAAACTATCCTTAAAGTACTGATCTTTCAGGATATAGATGATTTCAATAACATTATAAAAATGTACCATATACACTTAAGAAATCAAACATTGACATGCACTGTAATCTTTACCATGTTGAAATATTTGGAGTATGAACTTAAAATACGAGATATACATGGTATGTCATCTATCAGAATCACAGATAAAATATGTCGAAATAAACTGCAGAGGAAGAAAAGTTAATTTTGAGATAAACATGGTATTCAGGATATCTAAGTTTGTTATGAGAATGTCCGGCTGCTTTTTATTAAGGATATTTTTGATACAAACAAAAAAGTCCTTGTTTATTAGTGGATAAGTACAGCTTTCAGAACCAATTTCTGGTGATATTCAATATGTTAACTTTGAATGTTATGGTAGAACTAGATATTCAAATTTAGTGAACATTCAAAAATACCTCCTAATGAATATTTAAAAATGTAATTTCTTGTGACTTGTCTCATTTACACATTCCACATTTCGTCCCAGGCCTGCACCGCTTTTGAAGGACTGTGACCTCTCCGACTCGAAGGCTCGTGAGCTGTACCTACAATGTATCCACATGGTGAGGACACTGTATCACACATGTAAGCTGATACACGCTGACCTCAGCGAGTTCAATATGCTGTAAGTAAAATCAGTCAAGCACCAAGACCATCTTTTGTGGACTTCAACCCAGGGTTTGGAACTCTTGATACGGGGTACATTGGCAGTCACTCACTTCGCTCTGACAGTTGGCTTCCAACTACACTCCTCTTTCTTCAACCATACTAAAAATGTTAGTTCAGCTACTAGATTGAGCATCTCTTTTTGCCTCCTTTTATCCATTTCAACAGCTACCAGCACTCTTAACATCCTGAAGACAGAAGTAACCCCCCCCCCCCTACACCCTAATTCCAAAGGAAAATTATATTACTGCCATCCCTGATCTCTGCATTTGGCCAGCAAGTCTGTAAACTTTCCCCTTAGAAGTTTTGGGCACATCTGTCTTTCTGAATTACTGTTTGCCAGTCAGAAGTCTTCATCACTTGATGTTTTGTCTGCTTTCTTCATGTCATTTGTATAATATTTATGATTTTTATAATCAAGTAAAGGTTTCAAGAATACTCAGAAACCCGACTAGGATTATATGATAAATTAGCAATGCTAAACACTTTCAAGTAACCTATGCAATTTGCTGAATGTTTTTAGAAAATCTGACTTGATCAATAACATGTGACTGTATATTCTCCTGTTTGTACAGTTACCACGAAGGGAGAGTGTACGTGATAGATGTATCACAGTCGGTTGAACATGACCATCCGCATGCTCTCGAGTTCCTACGAAAGGACTGCACCAATATCACAGGTACATTTGTATGATCAGCTGGTTATGGAGGGTAATAATACAGTCAAACCTTGATAATCCAGCCAATGTCGATTCTAGCTTTAAATAGGTGACTGGAATGTGAGTTGTTTGGATATCTGGGACAGTTTTATAAAACTGAAAGTATGTCTGTTCCCTAAGACAGCAATACAACCAGGTGGCTGGAAAAGTTACCAAAGCTCAACTGTACATGGTACAACTGTACACGGTACAACTGTACACGGTACAACTGTACACGGTATGGTACAACTGTACACGGTACAACTGTACACGGTACGATACAACTACACGGTACAACTGTACACGGTACGGTACAACTGTACACGGTACAACTGTACACGGTACAACTGTACACGACACGGTACAACTGTACACGGTACAACTGTACACGGTACAACTGTACACGGTACAACTGTACACGGTACAACTGTACACGGTACAACTGTACACGGTACAACTGTACACGGTACAACTGTACACGGTACAACTGTACACGGTACAACTGTACACGGTACAACTGTACACGGTACAACTGTACACGGTACAACTGTACACGGTACAACTGTACACGGTACAACTGTACACGGTACAACTGTACACGGTACAACTGTACACGGTACAACTGTACACGGTACAACTGTACACGGTACAACTGTACACGGTACAACTGTACACGGTACAACTGTACACGGTACAACTGTACACGGTACAACTGTACACGGTACAACTGTACACGGTACGGTACAACTGTACACGGTACAACTGTACACGGTACAACTGTACACGGTACAACTGTACACGGTACAACTGTACACGGTACAACTGTACACGGTACAACTGTACACGGTACAACTGTACACGGTACAACTGTACACGGTACAACTGTACACGGTACAACTGTACACGGTACAACTGTACACGGTACAACTGTACACGGTACAACTGTACACGGTACAACTGTACACGGTACAACTGTACACGGTACGGTACAACTGTACACGGTACAACTGTACACGGTACAACTGTACACGGTACAACTGTACACGGTACAGTACAACTGTACACGGTACGGTACAGGCTTTAGATAGGAAGTGTGTGATGTGGAGAATTTGATCGTTTTTGTTTTAGCTAACTGAACCTATTTTTCATAAAACTGAAACCTTAAAATAATCTTTCTAACTCTAAGACAGAGGAGTGCAAACTTGAAACTTGAAGTACATGTATATATATATAAGATATCATGTGAGCTTTAAATCCATCCTTCAAGCTCCATTTCTTTATAACTTATATGGAATAAACCAATTGACGGATTTCTCAGGTATGTTTCCCATCATGACTGTATTGTATTTTATACAATGTATTTGGGACTATAAAGGTTACATGTGTTTTATTGGTAGATTTCTTCAGGAAGAAGGGCGTGTGTACGTTGACGATGAAGGAACTATTTAACTTTGTCACTGACGTAACCATTACCGACGACAACATTGATGCCTACCTTGACCATGTGATGGAGATGTCGGTCAATCGCACGCAGGATGATATCACAGAACAGCAGAAGATTGATGATGAGGTACGATAGTAAGAGTATTACTGTACTGATAATACGATAGTAAGAGTATTACTGTACTGATAATACGATAGTAAGAGTATTACTGTACTGATAATACGATAGTAAGAGTATTACTGTACTGATAATACGATAGTAAGAGTATTACTGTACTGATAATACGATAGTAAGAGTATTACTGTACTGATAATACGATAGTAAGAGTATTACTGTACTGATAATACGATAGTAAGAGTATTACTGTACTGATAATACGATAGTAAGAGTATTACTGTACTGATAATACGATAGTAAGAGTATTACTGTACTGATAATACGATAGTAAGAGTATTACTGTACTGATAATACGATAGTAAGAGTATTACTGTACTGATAATACGATAGTAAGAGTATTACTGTACTGATAATACGATAGTAAGAGTATTACTGTACTGATAATACGATAGTAAGAGTATTACTGTACTGATAATACGATAGTAAGAGTATTACTGTACTGATAATACGATAGTAAGAGTATTACTGTACTGATAATACGATAGTAAGAGTATTACTGTACTGATAATACGATAGTAAGAGTATTACTGTACTGATAATACGATAGTAAGAGTATTACTGTACTGATAATACGATAGTAAGAGTATTACTGTACTGATAATACGATAGTAAGAGTATTACTGTACTGATAATACGATAGTAAGAGTATTACTGTACTGATAATACGATAGTAAGAGTATTACTGTACTGATAATACGATAGTAAGAGTATTACTGTACTGATAATACGATAGTAAGAGTATTACTGTACTGATAATACGATAGTAAGAGTATTACTGTACTGATAATACGATAGTAAGAGTATTACTGTACTGATAATACGATAGTAAGAGTATTACTGTACTGATAATACGATAGTAAGAGTATTACTGTACTGATAATACGATAGTAAGAGTATTACTGTACTGATAATACGATAGTAAGAGTATTACTGTACTGATAATACGATAGTAAGAGTATTACTGTACTGATAATACGATAGTAAGAGTATTACTGTACTGATAATACGATAGTAAGAGTATTACTGTACTGATAATACGATAGTAAGAGTATTACTGTACTGATAATACGATAGTAAGAGTATTACTGTACTGATAATACGATAGTAAGAGTATTACTGTACTGATAATACGATAGTAAGAGTATTACTGTACTGATAATACGATAGTAAGAGTATTACTGTACTGATAATACGATAGTAAGAGTATTACTGTACTGATAATACGATAGTAAGAGTATTACTGTACTGATAATACGATAGTAAGAGTATTACTGTACTGATAATACGATAGTAAGAGTATTACTGTACTGATAATACGATAGTAAGAGTATTACTGTACTGATAATACGATAGTAAGAGTATTACTGTACTGATAATACGATAGTAAGAGTATTACTGTACTGATAATACGATAGTAAGAGTATTACTGTACTGATAATACGATAGTAAGAGTATTACTGTACTGATAATACGATAGTAAGAGTATTACTGTACTGATAATACGATAGTAAGAGTATTACTGTACTGATAATACGATAGTAAGAGTATTACTGTACTGATAATACGATAGTAAGAGTATTACTGTACTGATAATACGATAGTAAGAGTATTACTGTACTGATAATACGATAGTAAGAGTATTACTGTACTGATAATACGATAGTAAGAGTATTACTGTACTGATAATACGATAGTAAGAGTATTACTGTACTGATAATACGATAGTAAGAGTATTACTGTACTGATAATACGATAGTAAGAGTATTACTGTACTGATAATACGATAGTAAGAGTATTACTGTACTGATAATACGATAGTAAGAGTATTACTGTACTGATAATACGATAGTAAGAGTATTACTGTACTGATAATACGATAGTAAGAGTATTACTGTACTGATAATACGATAGTAAGAGTATTACTGTACTGATAATACGATAGTAAGAGTATTACTGTACTGATAATACGATAGTAAGAGTATTACTGTACTGATAATACGATAGTAAGAGTATTACTGTACTGATAATACGATAGTAAGAGTATTACTGTACTGATAATACGATAGTAAGAGTATTACTGTACTGATAATACGATAGTAAGAGTATTACTGTACTGATAATACGATAGTAAGAGTATTACTGTACTGATAATACGATAGTAAGAGTATTACTGTACTGATAATACGATAGTAAGAGTATTACTGTACTGATAATACGATAGTAAGAGTATTACTGTACTGATAATACGATAGTAAGAGTATTACTGTACTGATAATACGATAGTAAGAGTATTACTGTACTGATAATACGATAGTAAGAGTATTACTCTACTGATAATACGATAGTAAGAGTATTACTCTACTGATAATACGATAGTAAGAGTATTACTCTACTGATAATACGATAGTAAGAGTATTACTCTACTGATAATACGATAGTAAGAGTATTACTCTACTGATAATACAAGGTTGTTTCTTTCTTTCCAATCCGTGAAAGTTAAGGACAGCCCATATATAAAGGATTCGCAGGGGACAGACAAGAAATGCTTGATGATATAAAAAGACAGGATCTTTTTAAAATGAAATGGCATCACATTATAGATTAATGGCATCACATTATAGATAAATGGCATCACATTATAGATTAATGGCATCACATTATAGATTAATGGCAATTGGCTGTTAATTCCAAACCTCCGTGTTGTGTTCTGATTGTTTATACCAGGAGGACAGAATTGTATGAGATAAATCAACACTCTCCTCCTGTGTATGTCACGATTGTAAGATTCTAGCTTTGGAATCTTCCTGCTACACACACATGTAAAACAGTCTTATTGTCTAGATCTTATCTCTCTTGTTTCAGCTGTTAATAATTACAAAATAATAAAATAAGAAAGTCTCATTTTTATGATTGGTGTTAAGAAAGTAAGATTTCTATATTACAGAGGATATACAGAATAGGAAGTCATCTTTTAAAAGCTAAGGTCTTTTGCTTATCCTGGTTGAAATAGTTCAAACTTAATTTTTCTGGATCTTCAATACACCATAGACAATAGCAGAGACTTGGGTATTGATTCTGCAGTGATTAATGTGGTATAGATTAATCTATGTAAACTTGATTTGCTCTGATCATGCTATTACACATCAATGTTACATTTTTACAGGTTTTCAAAAATGCCTTCATACCAAGAACTTTAGATGAAGTCATAGACTTTGAGCGGGATTTCTCAAAAGCACAGACGGGAAAAACAGATCATGTAAGATCTCTACCAGTAATGCAATATTAAAGCAGGTTAATAAAATTATATTTATGTCAGTACTTAAATGTCACATGAAGATCAGTATTTAAAAAGATAATAAAGATATTTGGTTAAATTCAATAAAGTAAATTGTGTATGATACAAGTACATGTACTAGTTCATCAACACCCCTTGGGTATCATAGAGAACGTGTTAAGACAATTTTAAATGTATTTGAATAATCTTCTGTAAACTATTACTCACAGGTAACTTTGAGCAGCCTAACAGCCCCATGGACCTCTTATAGACTGTTCTGTTGATGTATACCTTAACAATTATTTAAAAGTTTTTTCTTCAATTCTTGCTTTTCAGTCAATTTCAATGTTGAAGTTTTTGTTTTTAGATTTTATACCAGACAGTGACAGGTCTAAAGGCTGACTTGACGGGTGCCCAACAGGTACGTCCATATATATCAGACACTACTTCAGATATTGGTAGTATTGTGTTCACTTTTGTCTTGGATGGATTGATTGAATGGTAAGATGGCCTCCTACTTAAAATAACCCAAGGATAGGTAGTAGGTAAAGGACTGATGTCTGGAGAAATCTAGATAAATGATGTTAAGGGAAAGAAACAATAAGTTTAAGGTATCTACTTTCTACCTACAGCAAAGTCTTGTTATCATACAAGCAAATATTCAACTTTGTAAAGGGATATGATGAATATAAGGAAAAAAGAACATTATAGGCATCGCATTGGATTCAAGCAAGATACGACTTTACGATAGTTATTCATCCTTAGTTAAGCTGGATCATTTATAAAATTGACGTCTGCTTTTGTAACTGTCTGATCCAGTATGTTATCACTCTTAATTTCCTGTCAGAAACCGGTACTCCTGGAGAGTAAAACTGATCTGTCAGAAGCACACACCGATTTAACAGAGCCCGACAAGAGTGTGGTTGACTCGGATGAAGAGGAGAGTGACAGTGACAATGAAAGTGACGATAGTAACAAGGCAGCATTATCTCTCAGGCCAAGGGACGAATCACCCAACAGTAAAAAGGTACACATTCTCACCTGCACTCTTTGTGTCTTAGAGTACTGATTGACTTATCAATACAGAGATCAATTGGTGGTAGAAAATAAGTTTAGAAAAACAACAGCATCATCAACATAACAACTTTTGGTGACTGTTATTAAATATTCTGTCTGTTAGTTGTTATTTTTACAACATGAACAACTACAGTGGATAAGTACGATATTTAGTGTGGTCATAGATCAAAACAGTGGTATATATCCAAGATGGCGGACATTTGTGAACAGGGGGGTTGCTCGCAATTAAGCCCCCTCCCTACTTTTGGTCTATGTTTTTTCACTAGGGTGGGGGCTTATTTGCAGTCAAATACGGTATTATAGATAATCAACAGTAAACTGATGTAACTTGTCAGCCTTCACCATGTGGTTGTAACACTATTCAGCGATTTTTGAGACTAATAGAAATTTACCTCACCTTCAGATTAAGTCAGAAAACTCTCAACCCAAGGGAAAGGATTCTTTAACGTCTGATCCAAAATTTGATGGGACTTGTCCGTCTTATTCCTAAAATGGGGAATAATTTTCTCCTACCTCAAATACAAATGGTAATTTCATGAAATGCATGTGTTTATTGAATAATTTCCAGTAAATTGGAGTTATCTTCCATGATCTGTTATTGTTACACTGGCAATACATGATGTCTATGCAATCATACAATTATGACAAAAATATCTTTCCCTAACCAGAAATGCAGATATCTCTGTGTAATGGGGGAGAAATATTTATATATATTTTTTATTATTAACTTCCATAGTATACCGTACCTTGTCTTTGAATACATCCAGATGTTTAAATTCTTCATAGTTTTACACAATTCATTTACACAACACAGGAATGTTTAACTCACAGTTACATTTTTATACATGTCAGTTATTATGGGAAAGCACAACACTCAGTCTTTCTTCTTTTTGCAGGAAAGAAAGCAAAAGGTAAAAGAGGAACAGAGAGAAAAGAGGAAAAATAAAATTCCAAAGCATGTTAAAAAGAAAAAGGAAAAGATGGGAAAGAGTGGAAAGAAGAGCTAAGTAAGCGAGTATTGAGTGATTATCACCGACTTTACAGAGATGGAATACTCGGTGATTTGGAGGGACACTTTTGGGGATTTTTCATGGATGTTACAATGGATAACTTTTAATTATCGACACCACATCAATTTCATAAGGTCAGCAGACCGTTTCGTTTGGTAGGAACTGCAGGTTTTTGTGTGCGACTGTGGTACGTTTCTGTTTTATTTTAACATGCATTTTTCAAATGTTAAGTTATAGTCCATAAGCAAGTGTGAAAGATTTAAAATGAGGAGAAAGAGAGAGCAATGTTCAGTGTAAACTTCTAGAATCTGCATTAAAATTTATCCATGATGATTTTGTGAATTATTTATGCTGTTTTGTCACTTCTGGCTATCGGTAACTGTTAGGAAGGTGGAGCATTGTGTAGTGAAATCGGGGCCAGTATTCATGAAATCATTCACATGCTCGCGCACAGATTTAGTACTCGCACCAGCTTCCCTGTAACTTGTTCAAATCACGGGAAATGGTAAAAACAATAATGTCTCGACACTGAAAATGATATAAGCCTATCAATTTTTTTTCAAAATTGTTAAAAATAAGAGGCCCATGGGCCTTAACGGTCACCCGAGTCCTACAGTATTTATTTTTGTTGTTGAAATATATACCAATTTGAGTACAAAATAGTTAAGTATAACGTTAACTAAAGTTTGTCAGGGTCATGAGCTGATCATTCCTAGACCGATTTTCAGTTAAATCGGCCTATTAGAACTTCTTTTTAAGTTTGAAATAGTTTTTTCAAAATGGCTGCCATATTGGATTTCTGATAGACCCGAAAAATAACAACACTTTGTCAGGACCATGAGTCGATCAATCCTACCAGGTTTCAGTTCAATCAGCTCAGCAGAACTTGACTTTAAGTTTGAAATAGTTTTTCAAAATGGCGGTCGTGGTGGCCATATTGGATTTCTGATTGACCCGAAAAATAACAACACTTGGTCAGGGAGATGTCAGTAACCTTCCCATGAAATATTAATGAAATCCCTTTGCCAGTATTTCAGCTTAAGTTAAAAATGTAAACACTTAAGCTCAGGTGACCTAAAAAGGTTAATTTGTGTTAACTTTTGTTCTTGGAACAAGAAATTGGGTGCGAGAACAGAATCTGAGTTTGAGCGTAAGGCCTAGGTTTTGTGTCCAACCATATTCAGAGTAATGCCTTTATATCTCGTACACCTACAATTGCCCAATTTTGATGCGAGAATGGCATACTGAAACTTGAACCTACTGATTCTGGACTGTGACAAGGACTTTTAACAATTTAAATTGGGTAAAGTGACATGGCAAATAAAATGAGGGTTATTTACTGTGTATTAACAACTAAAGGTAAAGGGTACCACTGCATCGGTTTTATCACAAAGAAGAGTTCCACTCGGTTATTTTTGACTTTGAGTATTCTCCCTTTTCCCGATCACTTTTTTCCCCTGTAAGGTAACATTGGTAAAATGTAAGATTGGAAATGTAAAACTTCCAAGTTCAACCCCTTCAGTTTTCTAATTTTTTTTTGCTTTTTATTGCTTTATTCAAACATTCACATTTCGAACAATTGCAATTCTGTAAAATGCATGGCATCATGCTATTTTCTTTTGAAAAGTATTTAAACCAAAGGTGGCCATGATAATGATATCGTTTACTTTGTTCATACCCTTTACTTTAGTTGATTTATTCCAACAATAGTACAAAGACAACAAACACGACTAGATTTGTTCCAATTTTATTGATATCAATGTATACTCTCAGATAATGACGTATTTCCATGACAACCTAACGAGAACTACTATACAACGTAGGTACATCAGCAGCTAGGGAGCCAACAAGTCTATCAATACACCAGTCGCCATGGTAACACGTCTACAGTAATGGTGGGACCATATACCATGGTTTTTATATTACAGACATACTTAGGAATAGCATTATGGGATAGATTAATGTTTTAATGAAGGAAATTCCAAATTTGCTTTTTTCTATTACAAGTTTTTTTATACAAGAGATTCACAGAAATGTATAAGAAAATGGAGATCCAGCATACAGCTGTAGAGCTATATATAAAACATGGCCGACCGCAAAAGTCATATATATTCTCAATCGCCATAGTAACCAAACTCATTGTGAGTCGCATGACTAGAATGGAACATCAAGACACGGCAGTGTCATGATCACTATGTCTGGAGGAGCACTACAGGTAAGGATTAGGATGAGTAAGACACACCTGCTAACGAGATTTACACCTGCTAACGAGATTTTATAGTTTAACACAAATTATATATGAAATACATGCTACCACACCCTTGGAGGGTAAAATGGATACGGAAAACTTAAAATAGTCCAAAAACTGATTGTCATCTATTGGTTAGAGTAAAAGTTACACAACAGCTACTGGCAGACAGCACATGGTTAGTGAAATCTAGGGGGTAGCTCTATGAGTGTGGTAAGTTGGAGTGACCAACAAACCACTGCACACAATCCACGGGACTAATGGGTCAGTTTCTGGTCAAGTTCTGGTACGTGAACACTTTTATTTCCAATATGAGTTGTGGTAAATGATATGCCATGTGGCTTACCGTATATTTACAATGTACCAGGCAGCTTTTGTAGCTGAATGAACATAAAATGTAGGTCTTTATCATAAACATGTATTTCATTATACATTTTCGTTTAATCAGAGATGAATTTAATATAATAATTTTATGAATTGATTTTAATTGGTCCTCTTTGCTTCCGACCCACCCACCCACCCCCCTTTTTGATAAACAATTACTTGATACAATAGCAATTTTACAAGATTAAAATTTTATAGTTATTGAAATAATTCTTCAAAAGAGTACCTATTAAATTTGACTAATGTTGATTAATGTGGAAACAGCACTAATCAAAATGCTCATTTCTATTTGAGATTCCTAGAAAAAAAAATCACCAACAATTTAAAATTAGATTTCTCAATGATACTAGCTGAACGATGTATTTCTATGTGTGTACAGTTACAGGGTGGTACAGGTATATATATATATAAACGATTAGTTCCATCTAACACAAATTTACCTACAGTAAAGCACTCGTTCCTCCATCTTACAAGTCCATCTTTTCTCTCACTTTCTCAAGTTAAATACTATTATTATTATTATGCACAAAAACTAAGAATATGTTATACAAGTTAAAACTTGTCTTTTACAAAAAGAAAGAATTATTTATAACCATAATACATAATAATTGCATTGCAAATATTTGTTTAAGAAAGAACAACCTGTCTTGCACATAAAATTCAGCACATACAATGGTAGGTGAAAATAAATTGACAATAACATCACAATTGAGATGACTTAATGACGGACTAGCGGGGTTAAATGAACAATGAAATAAATGAATTGGCTTGAACGGTGACCCACAATACTGTTACAATACTTAGTTGGTCGTTATATTTACAATGTACAACGCGCGTGGAGTGTGTTTAGAAGTTAAACATTGTGTATTGAAATGACAGACCTAGGTAACCAAGGTAACCAAGGAAACCGATGAGAAAGGCGTCCATATTTGATATGGATGGTATTTGTTATCTTTCCAATATTGGTATTAAGTCAATGTTGAATTTTGGCAAAAGATGTGGACTGACTGATGTTTCATCTGCTAATGCAAATTTTCTGTAATTGAAAACAATTCAGTTTCCAGTACAATATACATAAGTCTGAAATTTCAATAAAATTGCAACATATCACAAGAACACTACATACTAGAAACATTGATTGATGACCCACTTTAGGACACACTACTCATTGTCACTGGCTCTGTGTTATCACTGAGTGAAGAAGCAGGATGACTGTATATATGTATGTAATGTGATGGTCAGACAGCAATGTACAAAAATTAATTAAATATAAATACTTCCAGCTATTGTCATTTAAACAATTTATTCAAATATGGCAAATTTAGAATAAGATATATAATGTAGAAATGGAAATGAAACTTATTATTTCACCAGTTATAGATGATTTCTGTACCAAGTATATAAGTATGGCAAGGTTTCTATATATTCATCCCAGATACATACATTTTAAGGTTTCTAAAGTGACCTTTATAGTTTCTGTGAATACATGGCAAGGTTTCTATAGATACTTTAGTTTCCATGGATACATGGCAAGGTTTCTATAGATACTTTAGTTTCCATGGATACACGGCAAGGTTTCTATAGATACTTTAGTTTCCGTCCATGGATACATGGCAAGGTTTCTATAGATACTTTAGTTTCCATGGATACAAGGCAAGGTTTCTATAGATACTTTAGTTTCCATGGATACATGGCAAGGTTTCTATAGATACTTTAGTTTCCGTCCATGGATACATGGCAAGGTTTCTATAGATTCTTCCTTAGGTTTCCATCCATGGATACATGAAAAGGTTTTAAATGTTACTTGAGTTTCCACCAATAAAATTTCAAGTCAACACCGCATACATCATAAAATTTCCAAACTGACCTTGGTAACCACAGATTCTATATAAAGGAGACTTTAGAAACTGTGTCCATGATAATGTTTCTTTAGAACAGCGAGTGGTTTTCATGACTACAGGCTGACTATGTGGATTTCTTTGTAAACATTTCTGTGACCTTTAACCTTTAACTCCAAGTGAGTATGACCTCTCCATCAACTGTCTGATGTCTTTAGATTTAGATTAATTTAAATAGAAGCATTTCATCAGAGACTCCTTTTGAAGGAGTGGTATTACCACAAGTGTTTCAAATCATCCTGCTTACATCCCAAAATGGGACTGGCATTTGATTCATTAAATAGACCATGTCCTGTGTTTAAATTTCAATGGCAACCATTCAAGATGAAAAAACGTGTTTCAAATGCCTCCTGCTTTCAAGACCTATAGAGTAAGATTTTGGTTGCCTTTTGTTTAAATTGTGTATGATAAGGTTTAGGCAGATGACAGTTGATGGGAAACAAACTTGGGAATTAAGTAGTCTTTCAAGACCTTTCTATCTGTAGATTATTCTACTGCCTCGAACATGTTAGACAATCCCCCCGCTACAAGTCTCGCTCACATACACACATTCAAATCATCCCCATAAATAGCCCTTCCCCAATATAATTCCTAGTCCTGTACTCGCAGTAACACACTTGCTAACAGTTTCAGAGTAACACAGCACTTTGTAAGACTAAAGCACAGTTACGGCTGATCTGTCTTCTGTTTCTCCCCCGTTTAGATAAAGCATTTTTGTTGCTATGGTGATGGCTATCGTCTAACAATAGTGAACCACACTGTCTACACACAGCTAACTAATGCAAGGTGTCCTGGTTGAGGGTAAATTTCATTGCAATAAATATGGACACGAGTGCTGACAGGTTGTCATGGGAACATAATACAATGATTTCATAATACAAAAATTCGGTGGTTTTAATTGAGTTATTGATCGGGCAGTTGAACAACGAGCACATTTATTACCCACACTCTACAGAAAGGCAAAAAACGAAACAAAGCACCATAACTATCAATGAATCTGTAAATAAATGATCCAATCATTGTTCGGTCCAGGAGAACAATTTGATACAAATGTTCAATTTTCCAAAGGTTAACACCTTAGAGCCAATATTCCATCACAAACCCCAAAGGGCAGATAACTCATTATGTTTTTTATAACGTTATATTGTACCATGATTCCTAACACACACATGCTCCCACGCACACCTGACACTATCTTTGGCAACATAATGATGAAGGGGAGAGTACACAGACCCACGTTACATTGTATATAACATTTTAAGTACCATAATAAAGTATCCTATGTAAGTCTATAATGCTACGTCACTGGTACTGAAATGACATAAAATTTCTAGTCAAAATGGCCACTGATCCGTTATACACTGATTCTATGAGATGTGTCAGCTCTGGGCAGGCCTCCGTTAAATGTAGTATGTATAGGTCCCACTTGGGTGATGTCTTCACTATGACGGGTAAGTCACCACCACGTCATTAGTGAAGTGTCTTGGTCCATAACTACAGTGACCAGTGGTCAAACTTTCAAGTTGTCCTGCATGTTTTTAACATGCTTACCATGTATGGTGCAGTGGTCAATAGATATTGCACATGTTGCCGTGACTCCTTGAGTCACCCCGACTGTCGTCCATTTTGTCCTGATCACTAAACAATTGGTCCTTTTCCTACAGATATTCCTGACTACAATGATGCTTGACACATCCACCAACAACCGTCCCATGCATTGTCTCCCTTTGATTGTCCGACAATAAAGGACACACAGTTCGATCTATCAACTGGTTGAACGACACACCCGCAGAAATAGGTTCATGTTTCCATGGTTACGTACAGAAATTGTTGATTGACACCGTATTATTTGGCTGTTTTGTTGTCACATGACTTCATCATATGATCGTGTCACACAACGCAGGTTATCCTCGCTGTTTCCATGGACAAACATGCACTCGGTGGTGCAGCAACACGCCTATGCTGCATAATGGTCGAAGGATCCCAAATACTCGAGAGCAGCTCGGTAACAGAACTGGTACTGATCCTAAACAACAAAACATATTATTGTTTTTAACAGTGAAATTAAATTCCTTAAATAGATAAGAGCAAACCAGTCACAAAAAATAGGAAACAAAACTGAAAATGCCTATATGAATGATGATCAAAATGACCTGGATTGTTTTAAATGGTGGTAACTGCCAAGATGTATTAAACTGCTGTTTTTGTTCAACACAATTATTAAAAAATTATGTTTCACATACATAACATTAAAAGGAACACAAATTATATCTTTACCACAGGCTGTCACAGTGTCAATACAATTATTGTTTTACTGTTAATAATAATAAAAAAAATCTAAAGTCTTTTTATTAAGGACAATAAATCTTAAAACTTAGCATATAGGCATGTTTGGCCAAGTTCTCAAAGCATACCTCCGTCTGGACCATAGCTGGTCTTTGTGTCCTCAGCATCTTGACAGTCTGGAACATATCGACCACCCCCTCGTACCTCATCCTCTCCAGGACGATACTAAGGGTTATAAACACCCCTGTTCTTCCAACTCCAGCACTGAAACCAACACCATTCATTAGAGATACAGAAACAGTATTGTCAAAATTACACATGAAGGAATTGAAATAATGTCATAAAAGTTACCTGGGTAAATCTAGAAATATCAAGTTAACACAATCATGCATGATACCTATTCCATAATAATAAAACATGAATTTAATTCCTCAATCAACTTTTAGGTCTCGTAATGCGAGTTTCTGGATATTTTCCGAATCTTGAATAGTGAGTTTCCATTGTTGTATTTGGTGTTCCATTAGGCTGAATGGTTCTTTACTACATCTAGGATACATACTAATGGCCAAACTGTTGACCACTACTGACCTGCAGTGAACAGAGATTGGTCCCTCCTGTCCAAACTGTTCCTTTGTTTTGTGGACCTGGCCGATGAAATCAATGAAGCCCTCTCCAGATTTGGGTACGCCCTGCTCTGGCCAGTCTGTAAACTGGAACTGTCTGATGGTCCGAGACTGACCGTCCTGTCGGTACAAACACATCGGTCAGTATTTATAAACATTTGTGTAACATGATTAAGAAACACTGCTGTCGGGGTATTTCATCACTGAATACATTATTTGAGATTCATTTTATTTCCTTTATTATCAAATTTCTCCCCCTCCCCTTCAACCTATTCACAGAGTTTCTATAGACAAAAATTGTTGTACAAAATGTTCAATTATTTTTATTTGAATAGTTGAATTGATTTCATACAAATGCTTCAATATTTTCATACTTTATGTAAAAACACTGCAATTGATTTTCGTCCAAGTCCTTGGAGAACCTACCCTGGCATCAGTGACCTTGAACTCTCTAAGGATGTACTGTGGCATGTTATACTCGGCCATTGGGTCAACGACAAAGTACTGGTACCTCGCCGACCTCTCACTGGGCCAGTATTGGTGACATTTCTCCTGTAACCATAGAAACAGAGACATATGGAAAACATTTAGCTGTGGTCTTCAGTAACAAAATGGAAATCTTGGTTATCATTATGATAAATCAATGTTTCATTCAGAATAAGAAAATATGTTCTTTTCAAGGAATGGCTTTAGTGCAAGATTTTTTTATTGAAAGTTTCAACAAATTTAATTTGTTTCTTTGGAACACACTGAGGTATAGTTTTGTTTGTAAAGAATTTGCTTTAAATCATTATGTTTCTAACAACTTTGCATATCAAATACAAATTTTATTTAAGTTTCTTTGACGATAAACTTGGGCAAACAGATTCATTACAAAGTGTATGTAGAGGTTTATCTTGGTGAAGAAGAAATGTTGACACTTACACGTCCCATTTCTCGCAGCTTAGTGAGCATCACGATAATGGTAGAGTTGTGTTCCCAAAGCATCCTCCAGAAGTCCTCCGTCGTCTCTGACAGGGGGCCCTGGGTAGCCACGTAAGCCTGGCAGTACTTGTACCCCTGTCACAAAATAGATGGGATTACTAGTTTTTACCTACTGATATACATGTAGTGTTAGACAAGCATGGAAATATGTGATGCTATACAGAATAACAGTTACAAAACAAATTCACAGTTAAAAATTAATTTAAAACATGGTAAGATATTTAATAATTCATTTAAGGACATTATTAAATTTTCGAGACATTTTTCGGCCTTAAAGTATTTTCACAAATGGCCTGCAATGATATTTTTTTCACTGTAACACAAATGTGAGACACGAATCTGTCCATGTTGAGTACAATGTATGCTTTCACCAAAAGTTACTTCCCTTACTATACAGGATGCTGTATACCAGCAAACTCAAGGAAGTGACCCTGGAAGGAAGACCAATCAGAATAGAAGGAGGACCAATCAGAATTCTGCAGTCACTTTGAGGTACAACAATGTTAGTTATATAACTCTGTCATACTTACATCTATAAAACTGGCATTGATGTAATCGGAACCGTCCACTCCTCGGATTGGCTGTAGGGCTACTCTTGTAGATTCAACTGTAAGTAATGAGGTCCAGTCGAGTCAATGGCATCGCATGAATAACATTATTTAACAAAACTTTCTTTGATTTAATATCCAGTTCAATCCCCGTCATCCACTCCCTCTTTTTAGTAATAGTATATAACTTTGAACAACGATACATTTTACTCAGTAAAAGAACTTCACAAGAAGCAAGAGAAGAGATTATTTGATTTATATTTCATTGATGCAGATTTTGATATGTCATAGGTCACAAATACACTGGAAATGTTCCTCCATCCTTCTGGGCTCTGTATACTTACAAGGTAAAATGTTAACAAGTCTATTCTTGAATTTATTCACTGGAAGATTTGCACTAACAAAGCGATTTGGACTAGCCTTCATGTTTGCTAACCGCTGAAAAGAAAACAAACAAACACAATTAACTATAACTCTTAGCCTGGAGTGAAATGAAGTAGAAACCCCTTAGAAATCTTTTGCCAAACCAATGATGTCGATGGTTTTAAGTTTTACTGTATATCAAGACAGATGTTAAACTGCAGATTCAAACAAGGATTTTTGAGCAAAACAAAATATGATTTGAAATTTTATTAAGACAACATTTTTATCAGAACTATATTTTACCAGAAGTATAAAATATAAGATTTACCTTAAATTCCAATTCCATGCCTGTGACGGTTTCTCCTGGTTCTGGCTGCATCAGTTTCTGTATGTGTACGGACAGGTTACGCGCGGGTACCTCTGTGTTCCCACAAGTAACAGCTTCTAACAGTGCGTCGTGGATAAATATATACTGGTCCTCCGTCTGTACCATGTAATTACGCTGCGCTCGTAAGCAGGTCACATGACCATATATATCTACTGTCTTTTCATGTCGAATTCGTTCCAACATGGCGTCTATGACTATGAAGGCTCCTGTTCTTCCGACTCCAGCACTGAAGAATAAGATGTTATCATTGCAGTGCTTACTATTCACAAAACCAGGAATACTTTTATGATAAATCTAACAATATTACTATATAATACCTTTATTAGACCCAAGGAGACAAACTACAGGCCTAATTCTGAAAACGGCAGTCAAATAGTCTTTGGGCTTAATCCCGGAGTTTGACCATATAATGGTAATGATCTTATTGCTGTGTTTGACCATCATCATCAGAAAGGCATACTCTTTAGCACTACCATATCACCAGCGTTGGGGTTGCATGAGTTAAAAGTAGTCTATACCTGCAGTGGACTACCATTGGCCCGGCGTCGGGAGGGTTGCTAGTTTTGACACGCCTCATGAACATTAGGAGAGGTGTGGGATGGTCAGGAACACCATGATCTGGCCAGGCGGTGAACTGGAACTGGCGAATCTCACGCTTCTCCGGGAAACCGTACTGTAGGTAAACAACAGGTATGTCATTAGACAGGATGAGCATAGGTAATCACAGGGAAATCGTTTCTGGTATTTCAGTGTAAACCAAAACTTATCACAGCTACCCAAAGGTAAATCAGTTTTAATTACAGGTACTTTTAGGTAAATATTTCACTTACCCTGGAGATATGGAAGGTTCGTATCGTGTAGGTAGATAGTTCTGTCACATCTACCAGTAGGACGTGCATCAGGCCGTAATGCTCCGCTCCACGGTGAGGCCAGTACTGGTCACACTTTATCTAAAACACAAACACATAACAATATTTCTATAACCTGTCAAATTGAAGCGTAACATCAAATAATCAGAAATTGAAATAAGTACTCTTGGACTAGAGAAATCTTTTGAGACCTATCTCACATGGTTGCCTAATGTGCAAGACACATATCTTGGGGTTGGCTTTGATGCAAATATCTTTGATACACAAATTGAAAGTCTTTGAATGAAGTGAATAAGATTAGTAAAGGCTTAGTTTACTATCTCTTTTTCCTTTTACCTGATGACACATATATAAGGGGACAGTGTTTAATATGAGGTAAACATTGAGATAATAGATATAAATAGTAAATGATGTTGTAAAATCATTGATACTGACCCTTGACCTTTCTTCTAATTTAGTCATCATGACGATGGTTGCTGATCGTTGTTCCCACATCATGCGCCAGAAATCTCCAAATGTCTCCGGAAGTGGTCCCTGAAACATGGAATGGAGTGGCTAGTTAAAAGGACATCTGTTTAATGTGTTTCTCAGGAAACTAGCATATAACCTTCATACTGCTGAAGATTAGTAACAGCACTGACAGTGACTGATAAGACTGCCACCTAGTGGCAAAAAGTAGCAAAAGTGATAGAGCCCAACACTATTACAGAAACAAGCAGATATCCAATCAACATGTACCAGCTAATGACTATTAAATACATACCTGTGTTGCGATGTAGGCATTTTGTTTACGATATCCATCCATGTAGTTTGCGTTGACGTAATCGCTGCCCGGGACGCTGTCGATCGGTTGGAGAATCACACGGGAGTGGTCGTACGCTATGACATTGGCGTATCTATTTTTAGGTTTGTTGACCTCATAGTTGGAGTTGTCCCACGTGAACTGTTGACCCGGTTCGATCGACTCGTACTCTTGAGAGAACTTCAGGTTGTCATTGTTCTTCAGATTGTCAATGTGTTCCTGTAGCATGTGGATGTGGATCGGTGGATGACTGATCATACCTGAAGAAAAACATAAACACACCGTTACTTTGTGAGAAACTTGTGTGGCAAATTTTACAGATTTGAGATATGCTATGGAAACACAAATATGTATAAAAATTTGTATGAATATTTGCAGGACTATCGACAACTCAAAGTTTCCTAAAATTAGAAATGTAAAAATACCAAAAGCCACTAATCTACAGTATGGTTGAGTCACGTTCAGGGTTTGAAGATCAAATCGGCACTGGCTTTACTACTACATGTGTGAGAACCAAGCATCTAGGAAGATATATGACCTTGAGAATTCAACTCTTACAAGAAGTTTGGTCAATGTCAGTTCTGTTTATAAAATTCCATGTAGGAATGTTTTCCAGAGCAGAATTAAACACTGCAAACGGTTCATACATTTGACCCCTGTTAACATGAAAATGACTAATTTGTTCACTCTTTACTTGAGATTGTCGCATTGGACCCCTACAACCATTATGAAATATCTCCTTTGACCTCTGTGACTTTGAGAATAGGTACCTGGTGTTTGATAATGCTGTCTACGAAGTTCGACAGGATCACATGGATGAGGTGGTACGTCCACAAACACCTTCCCAGATGTTGGCTCCGGACTCTTTTCTTTACGGGTAGCCTTCCTCCTACAGTAAATTGAATATTTGGAATATGACACCTGTCATGTAATTGTCATCGTATCAACACCATTGTTCTCGTTGGTTATTTCCAGCTCTGATGGGTTTTATTAGGTTTGGATTTACTAATGTTCTATAACAATACCTGAACCATACTGCCAAGAAAACTAAGCATGGAAGAGAAAAAGTAACAAAACCTTGTATGAAGCTCACCTCATGTGCCAGATCAGGACGATACACCCAATGATGATGAGTGCCACCCCTGCACAGACCGGGGCGACGATCATGATGATGAGCAGACTTTTTTCGCTAGCTTGTGCAGACTGTGGGATTAGGTGATCATTTGAACTGTCGGGGTTCTTTGGAATATGGGGGTTGATGTGGCTCAGATTGATGATTTCTGAGTATTGACTGGTTTTGTAAAGTTTCTGGAATGGTCAAGAGAAAAAATGGCACACAAATTATTAACAATTTATACAGTTATCATTCAAATACAATAGAATACAGTGTCAAAGGTTACAGGTCAGTCTTACAGTGTCAAAGGTTATAGGTCAGTCTCACAGTGTCAAAGGTTATAGGTCAGTCTTACAGTGTCAAAGGTAACAGGTCAGTCTAACAGTGTCAAAGGTTAAAGGTCAGTCTTATAGTGTCAAAGGTTACAGGTCAGTCTCAAAGGTTATAGGTCAGTCTTACAGTGTCAAAGGTTAAAGGTCAGTCTTACAGTGTCAAAGGTTATAGGTCAGTCTTACAGTGATATATGTCAGAGGTCAAATGTTACAAGTCAGACCTTTAGTGTCAAAGGTTAGAGGTCAAACTTACAGTGTCCACAGTGAAAGCTCGCAGGAATGTCTTGTACTTCATCCCATGGTCAAGTGGTCTGTTGGTGTAGCCCCCTAAGGTGTCCCTGTTGCCGAGATTGAACTCCTTAGGAAGGTGCTGGGCATCAAACTTGGCTGCGATGTAGGGTTTGGCTGATGGCAGCTCTGGAGATATTTCCACCGACAACTAAAACACCAGATAGAAACAATGTAACCAACAAATCTAAGGAATCTTAGTGAAAATCCTATTTTTGTAAAACCTTTCTTTATACACTTTATAACTAGTGCATCTGACCATACACTGGTTGACCTTTTACAAGGTCAGAGGTCAGCTTTGGTCTATGTTTTCTGTTTAATTTTGAAGTGAAGCAAATTTCATTAAAACTATTCTGGTTATTGATGCCCATGCTGAGTTATGTATCTTGATCAAAATGTCCTACAACAATAAAGGCCATCTGACAGTACCTCGTCATTACTAATGTCCTCTGGTCGTTTGGTTGTGGTGTTGATGAGAGGGACCACCACTAGGTAATAGTAGCTAAGACCACCATTTGCTTCAGATGCTGGTTTCAGGATGACGGTCACTTCCTGGCCAGAGATTTTCGACACAAGTGGTTTCCTCACCTCCTTCGGTGCTAATGGGGAAAAAAATCAAAATGTACAGAACTTTTTGTTTTCCCTTTGTCCATATTTCAAACCATAAAAACAGAAATTAGCATTGCCCATATTGTTTCATCTAAAGAAACATAAACCACATTTGATTGCTAATTAATTACTGTAAGATTTTCCTATTGGTGTAAGAAATACCTACCTTCAATCCTGGTTTGGACTACTAGAGAGTTGACACCGCCTTGTGTTCCATCCTGGAAGAATGCGGAGATGTTGAATGTGTATTTGGTTTTCGGAAGCAGATTCTCGACCGTGAAAGAGGTTGTAAGACCATGAATGCGCGCATCCTTGCGTGGCTGGTGATATGTCTGCATCACATTATCCTCACGGTATTTCTTTACCCCGGAATAGGAAAGCTGTGAAGCAAAAACACAAATAATTTGTCACACAAACAAATAAATGAGAAATCATTCTTATTGTCTTTTTTTGGTTTCCATTTTCATTACTCTATTATACCTTACACACTATACATTTTATTTGTGTTAGAGTTAAGGGTATATACTACCTAACACATTATACCTGTGATTTGTATTAGAGTTAAGGTTATTTGCTACCTTACATGTTATACCTGTGATTTGTATTAGAGTTAAGGGTATATGCTACCTTACATTATACCTGTGATTTGTATTAGAGTTAAGGGTATATACTACCTTACATGTTATACCTGTGATTTGTATTAGAGTTAAGGGTATAAGCTACCTTACATGTTATACCTGTGATTTGTGTTAGAGTTAAGGGAATATGCTACCTTACATGTTAAATCTGTGATTTGTATTAAAGTAAAGGGTATGTGCTACCTTACATTATACCTGTGATCTGTATTAGAGTTAAGGTTATTTGCTACCTTACATGTTATACCTGTGATTTGTGTTAGAGTTAAGGGTATATGCTACCTTACATGTTAAATCTGTGATTTGTATTAAAGTAAAGGGTATGTGCTACCTTACATTATACCTGTGATCTGTATTAGAGTTAAGGGTATATACTACCTAACATGTTATACCTGTAATTTGTATTAGAGTGAAGGGGTATATGTCACCTTACATGTTATATCTGTGATCTGTATTAGAGTTAAGGGTATATGCTACCTTACATGTTACATCTGTGATTTGTATTAAAGTAAAGGGTATATGCTACCTTAAACATTATACCTGTGATCTGTATTAGAGTGAAGGGTATATGCTACCTTACATGCTATACCTGTGATTTGTATTAGAGTTAAGGGTATATGCTACCTTACATGTTATATCTGTGATTTGTATTAAAGTAAAGGGTATGTGCTACCTTACATTATACCTGTGATTTTGTATTAAAGTTAAGGGTATGTGCTACCTAACATTATATCTATGATTTGTATTAGAGTTAGGGGGAAATGCTACCTTACATGTTATACCTGGGATTTGTATTAGAGTTAAGGGTGTATGCTACCTTACATGTTATATCTGTGATTTGTATTAAAGTAAAGGGTATGTGCTACCTTACATTATACCTGTGATTTTGTATTAAAGTTAAGAGTATGTGCTACCTTACATTATATCTGTGATTTGTATTAGAGTTAGGGGGAAATGCTACCTTACATGTTATACCTGTGATTTGTATTACAGTTAAGGGTATATGCTACCTTAAACATTATACCTGTGATCTGTATTAGAGTGAAGGGTATATGTCACCTTACATGTTATATCTGTGATCTGTATTAGAGTTAAGGGTATATGCTACCTTAAACATTATACCTGTGATCTGTATTAGAGTTAAGGGTATATACTACCTAACATGTTATACCTGTAATTTGTATTAGAGTTAAGGGTATATGCTACCTTACATGTTATACCTGGGATTTGTATTAGAGTTAAGGGTATATGCTACCTTACCTGTTATACCTGTGATTTGTATTAGAGTTAAGGTTATTTGCTACCTTACATGTTATACCTGTGATTTGTATTAGAGTTAAGGGTATATGCTACCTTACATGTTATATCTGTAATTTGTATTAAAGTTAAGGGTATGTGCTACCTCACACATTATAATTAATTCTATGTTCTACCTTATCTGTTGTTGATTTAGTTCTTAAAAAAAAAAAAAACAACAAAAAACCTTCCCATGATGTGTTTGAAATTGTCCAGCTTTTGAACAACTGAGAATATTTGAAATTGTCCAGCTTTTGAACAACTGAGAATCAATATTTGTACTGTTGCCATGGTGGTATTAGGTTGTCGCACTTGTCGGTACATGTGTACTTACTGTGTAGGTTATGACCTGAGGCTTCTTTGGAATCTCCCACACAAGATTTACGTCAACAGACGTCCTCATCGACACGTGGAAGTTGGTTGGTACGTCATTGGTCAAAGGCTCTGAGACATAGATATAGACATTGTTTACCCTATGTGTCATTGACTTGTATAACCTGACTCCTACTAATGTTTACATATCCTAAACTGTAAAGGTTATTATTTTGTACGTTTCCAAATTTCTGGTATACAGCTTTTTTTTTTTTAATCTTCATTTTACACACATTTCCTTTACAACTTCATGATGTTTTGAGGTGCATTTTTCTGAAAATAAGAGCAAAAACAGAAAAAATGTTTGATTGTCAAAAATTGTGATAAGACACAATTTTCATTAAAGATGATACTCACGCGATGTTCCCACTGGACAAACAACAGCTTCCGACAGGTTGCCATAGCGACCATCAACAGATCTAGCCTGGATGCGAACTGCGTATACGGAGAAACTGTCCAGATTGGTCAGTTCAGTGACGGTATACGGTCCAATGTCTTCCTTCTGCCAGAGTTCCATCTTCTGTAGCTCAAACATGTTATAGTAGACCCTATACCCTGCCACAGGGAGCTTAGGTTCGTCCCATGTGACCAGGATGGTATCCGGGGCAGACCGTATCAGTTTAATTTTTTCCGGTGGAGGCAACACTGTTGGAAAAAACAAATACCATGAAAATTCTGGGAAATGAGGGGAACTTATTTAATTAAGCCATATGAAATATTTTCATTAAAACACATTGAAACACCTTTTCATGAAGACATTTTATCAGAATAATATACTGATCTGCATAATGTTATAGCATTTCTTACTTTGTTACACTTATTAACATTCATTTATAAAATAAAAATGGTGTTATGACATGAGAACAATAGGATATCACCAAGTTGTCGCCCATTAAAGTTATTTGGACCACAGTTAACAAAATGATTAATATTCATAGGAAAGTAGTTGGCTAAATTTTCAGACAAACTGAGATATATTATACCTAAAACCCAAAATTAACTACCAACATTGCCAATTGATGAATCTCTCATCTTTGCCTCTATTTTGACAGTGACAGAATTTTCTTAAGATTGATGCTACGTCTGACATGAACAATTTCCAGGCTATCTCTGGGTAAAATAACAATCAGATTTAAATCGTACTTTGTACATTATTTAAAGTCTGACAACCATGTCTTCTAAACCCATTATATAAAAAAAATCAGGAACAATACAACGATTTCTTATTTAGCAAAAGAATATTGTTCCAAAAAGTTGAAAACCAAATGACACAGCATCTATCTGTCGCCCGTTACCATAGTAACACTAGTCGAGGAAAAGAATCTATCTGTCGCCCGTTACCATAGTAACACTAGTCGAGGAAAAGAATGTGGGCATGTTTTTGTATTGTTCTTCGACCCATCAACTAAATTGAGTCATTTAGGGCCGATGTGGGCTTGACTTTAAGGGAGTGGCTAGAGATTCATCAATTGATTTACCAACACTACGTTACAGTTAGCACAGTACAGTGTTTATGGGTACATGACGAAACACAAACAATAAGTGACCCTCTACACAACAATAACCTTATTGGTTAAGTTGACCAGTGTCCAGTCAAATGGGACATAGCTGGTCAATTTGGTCCATTTTATGCATATTTTGAATAACTACAAACAAACTGAACAAAATGAGTAAGACATTTATACAACTTTCCCCCCAGCATGCATCATAAAAATGGGTGTTGACAATTAGGTGTAGGTTAAACACATAGGTGCTCGCTAAACCCATGACATGCAGAAAACAGGAGCCATTAAAACAAACGTACTAAATTTGGTTAAACACTGTCACTCATGAAATTCTCAACAGTTCAATTACTTCTTTTAACAAATTCAAAATACCAATGTGTAATTTTTCAATCACATTTTCAAAATCAAGCAAGAAATTTATCTGTTTTGTTGTTGTAAATATACATTATAGAAAAGGGACTTGACTAACACCCCGGACTGGTGCTGGTGTGGCCTTTTCTTGTCTCTCGTTCCAAGTATTACATCTAATGACCTGGCAGAGGCTTTTCACCAAGAAATTCTAAACTATAATATCAAACCCATATACCTTGTAAATAATTGTTTAACTTTGCCAATCTAATACCAAATACCCATATAACACTGTTTATAATATAAAAATAAAACGCCATGTGACTCAGGGAAAAACTAGAATGAAATGTAAGCAATGTTTAGAAATAAGAATCAAAGTGACAAAAGATAGCCCTTTAATTAATAAATAATATGACTGCAGTGCAAAAAAATTAAATACACTACGAGTGCACTCCATCGAAACAGGACGACAAATATGGCAGAGTTGTGTCCCCTGACACCCCGACCTAAGCTTGATACCACAATCTGTCAACATCTAAACTGTTGACATAAGGCTGGTATTGACAACGAGATAATTACCATAAGGTTCTGCACGTGAGGAGAGGAAAAAAATAAATAACCACATGTTATTATTTCTAATGACGGATGAAAGCAATCTCACAATATAGTATTATTTCTTAAGTGGAAGAATTACTCTAGAAAATTGTTATATAAATGTTCTTATTTCTGGAGATGGACAAAACATCTCTTAAATACCAATAAATAATTATTTCAAAAGGGAAATATAATATTTCTTTCTTTAAAAAAATAAAACAGTAATACAAATTATTATGATGGAAATCTTTTTGGTAAAAACTGGTTAAAAGATGTACTATATCATTAAAATTCAAATGATATTTGTGTTGGACATTAAATATTTTCTGTATTTTATTTATGAGATGGCATCAATAAAATATTAGATACTCAAATATACTAGGTATACACATATTTAGACAAAATTTAATCGCATCACAAAAATGTCTCTTATATTCTAAAGACGTTTAGGACAACATTGATGACTACCTAGGTGTAGTATTGTTTTTATAAATAACAGCTGAAATTTACAGAAGACGTATGATATATTTTAATCCATATCGGTTAAGATGTGTGTGGTCTGGGAGGTGCAGTGGGTGCTCTGTGAACGGCAAGGGCACCTAAACATTGCTGCACCCATCATAATTATTTTAACAGATATTTACTGAAATTAACAAAAAAATGAAATTAAGTATACTTTCAGTTTTTTGCTTTTAAAAGCTAAAATCAAAATTATTCAAGATAAATAATCTGCCCACCTTTTTCACATTATCATAGGAATTGCTTCCGAGATGAAAACAAATCAATTTCTGTTGAAACAAACATTTCTCAGCTGGACATTTAAAAGAAGTGTCTGGGGCGTGAAATAAACATTTGAACAGCCTCAAACCTTTGAGTTGTTAATTTGTGTCATGCAGTGATAATGGTAAGCAAGAGGGTCCTTTCAAAAGTTAGTCAGCATTCAAAGCAGGTGTAAATGTCAGCGATGTGGGGAATGGAAGGGGCACTAACCTCTACCGAGAGGAAAAGTGATGGGGGCGCTAACCTCTACTGAGAGGAAAAGTGATGGGGGCACTAACCTCTCCTGAGAGGAAAACTGGGAGGGGCACTAACCTCTCCTGAGAGGAAAAATTGTAGGGGCACTAACCTATACTGAGAGGAAAACTGGTAGGGCACTAACCTCTCCTGGGAGGAAAACTGGTAGGGGCACTAACCTCTCCCGAGAGGAAAACTTGTAGGGGCACTAACCTCTACTGAGAGGAAATCTGGTAGGGGCACTAACCTCTCCTGAGAGAAAACTGGGAGGGGCACTAACCTCTACTGAGAGGAAAACTTGTAGGGGCACTAACCTCAACTGAGAGGAAAACTGGTAGGGGCACTAACCTCTCCTGAGAGGAAATCTGGTAGGGGCACTAACCTCTCCTGAGAGAAAACTGGGAGGGGCACTAACCTCTACTGAGAGGAAAACTGGTAGGGCACTAACCTCTCCTGGGAGGAAAACTGGTAGGGGCACTAACCTCTCCCGAGAGGAAAAGTGATGGGGGCACTAACCTCTACCGAGAGGAAAAGTGATGGGGACACTAACCTCTACTGAGAGGAAAAGTGATGGGGGCACTAACCTCTCCCGAGAGGAAAAGTGATGGGGGCACTAACCTCTACTGAGAGGAAAACTGGTAGGGGCACTAACCTCTACCGAGAGGAAAACTTGTAGGGGCACTAACCTCTCCTGAGAGAAAACTGGTAGGGGCACTAACCTCTACTGAGAGGAAAACTTGTAGGGGCACTAACCTCTACTGAGAGGAAAACTGGTAGGGGCACTAACCTCTCCTGAGAGGAAAACTTGTAGGGGCACTAACCCCTCCTGAGAGGAAAACTGGTAGGGGCACTAACCTCTCCTGAGAGGAAAACTGGTAGGGGCACTAACCTCTACCGAGAAGAAAACTGGTAGGGGCACTAACCTCTCCTGAGAGGAAATCTGGTAGGGGCACTAACCTCTACTGAGAGGAAATCTGGTAGGGGCACTAACCTCTCCTGAGAGGAAATCTAGCATTAATAAACACAATTACTAGTACAATTTTCAAATCCTGCTGACTAATGCATTTTCAGAAAAGTGCACTTTTTCAACAACATTATCTAGATTTGTTTACGATTCATAGTGAGACTGTTCTCATTAAAATAATCTAAAATTTATTCATTGACTGTTTAATTTCTCTGTAATTCAGTAACATTTGATATCAGAGGCAAGAAATAGAATCCAAAACCCAAACAAGAACTTATATCACTTATAGTTATGATCATGCAATGGAGCTGACTTTTTCTTTCAGATCTTTTATGATTTTAACAAAGATTTGATTATAATGGATGTGCTTAAATCAAATAATATCAAAACACCAACTCAGTCCAAACCAGCACAACGATGTAGTCATCTAACAAACTGCTCTGCAAAAACACGCGTAGAGTACTTTCAAAAGAAAATGATAAATAACACAAAACTAAAAAATGCTGCGATTCTTTAGGGCCTAATAAAAACAGTTGTGCATCAAATGTGCCCGCAAAACTGTGTGATGTCATCAATTCACGTGTTGGGGGGGGGGGCATGGTGATCATTTATAAAAGGAGGATGGCAACACACGCTTTGGAGGTCATTCCAAGGTCAAACAGAGGTCATCCAAAGTTAGAAAAGTGTATCACAACATCTATATAATAGCTAGATATAACTAATACTTGTAAAACAATGAAACAACTAATCTATGGGTACAATATCGCTTTGTGAAGCAATTTCTACTGAAAAACAGAGTTTTAAAAAGACCCAAACAATTTTGGTATCCGTGTTAACAATATGGGGTGAGTTATTGAATTTGGTGAGGTGTTGGAAATTGACAGGTGGTACATGTATGGAAAGGAGGGGTGGGGTGTCAGGTGGAGATGAAATCATTGGATATCAAGTGGGTATGGGTAGGGTTTATAAGGGTTGGGAAATGTAGGGTGTGTGGGGTGGGGAATATAGGGTGTAAGGGGTAGAGAATGTTGGGTGTGTGGGGTGGGGAATATAGGGTGTAAGGGGTAGAGAATGTTGGGTGTAAGGGGTGGGGAATATAGGGTGTTAAGGGTTGGTAATATAGGGTGTAATGGGTGGGGAATATAGGGTGTAAGGGGTCGGAATATAGGGTGTAATGGGTGGGGAATATAGGGTGTAATGGATGGGGAATATAGGGTGTAAGGGGTGGGGAATATAGGGTGTTAAGGGTTGGGAATATAGGGTGTAAGGGGTAGAGAGTGTTTGGTGTGTGGGGAGGAATGTAGGGTGTAAGGAGTGGGAATGTAGGGTATAAGGGTTGGGGAATGTAGGGTATAAGGGTTGGGGAATGTAGGGTATAAGGGTTGGGGAATGTAGGGTATAAGGGTTGGGGAATGTAGGGTATAAGGGTTGGGGAATGTAGGGTATAAGGGTTGGGGAATGTAGGGTATAAGGGTTGGGGAATGTAGGGTATAAGGGTTGGGGAATGTAGGGTATAAGGGTTGGGGAATGTAGGGTATAAGGGTTGGGGAATGTAGGGTATAAGGGTTGGGGAATGTAGGGTATAAGGGTTGGGGAATGTAGGGTATAAGGGTTGGGGAATGTAGGGTGTTAGGGGACGTAGAGTGTGAGAGGCTGGGATATGAATGGACTAATGGCAGGGATCAGGGATGAAAACACGGGTGGGTGAGGGAATTGCTGTTCAGTAAGGAAAGCCGAGGGGGGTGATGATCATGTATCAGAAGCTGTACTCCTTCTGGTCGCCTATAACAATATGTTCTGGATTACAAACTTAATGTATTAATACGTCATATAATTAGTATCAATTCAAACCACAAAACAACACATGCTTTTTGCATATCAATGATAAGTTTCTCGGTCAATGCTCCCGGTGTTAGTATAGCAGGTAGTAACAGGTTAACGCATATTAATAATAAAGTCTTTCTGCAAAGCTTGCTGCAAACCCATCGCAGTGCGGCAAGGGTTATCTGCCCTTGATTGACATCTCTTTATTAACATACTTGGTCCGAACGTGTGGAACGGGTGCTGCACAGTCCATGGACCTGCTCCTTGACTTGTGTAGGCCTTAACTTGAAAAACATAATCGGTATTCATCTCGAGGTTGTGAACGTCGTGCTGAATGCCCGTGATGTTTAGGTCCTCCGTATCAGTGGGGTCGGCCATCTTATGGTAGATAAGTTGATACATGATTATCTCGCCATTTTGCAGTTTTTTAGCTGGCAAGTCCCACTCCAGCCTCACACTGGTCTCTGTCAGCCCCGTCGCAGTGAAATTCTGCGGGGCCCCATCGGGGACTATAGGCAGGACGGGGAGAAAAGAGAGAAAAATATACACCAAAAAAATACAACAAAAAGGCAGGTACAATATTGAATGGATTGTTTTACTATTATACTTGCACATTCTTATATAAATATCCCTCTTACATATGTTTTTGCTTTTCAAAAATCTTTTTACACTGTTGTAGTACCAGACTGCCTCAGATAATTAATTCATTCAGACATCAAACTTATTTTAATGTACGGTTTCTTACCAAACTTCTAATGCCTATGAAATCCTCTGTACATTTTTTGGAAAAATGAAAAATTGTGAGGGGTGTTATTGGGAGTGATCATACATGGTGCCAGTTAGTATAACACAAAATATGTGTTTTCTCATGTCAAACACTTCGTTGTTTCCTTACTATTTTTTTTAAAGATCTATGCTTAAATGAGTTAACAGCTGAGATTTCTATATAAAGTTTCCTGAGAAGTATAGCATAACAAAATATGTATATTTATTACATCTTTTAAATGAATGCAAATCTTCAAAATCAAAAATATGTTTATAATTTTGTATAAAAGAGAAAAAAATCATGTCCAAAATCTTTAAAAAATGTTCAATTTCATGACAATGTAAAAATCACACTTACATGCATCTTTTTAAATTTTTGTTAGAAAATTGTGAACATTTGTTTCAGCCAACAATCTCGGAAAGTTAAAATTACGAAGCAGAATACCAGAGACACCAAAAAGAAAAAATTGAAATTTTTTGTCAAGACAACTCTTTTCTTTAATTTCAATTCAACATGCTAGAGTTGAAAACATTCACCATGTATATACAGGATGCTGAACGGAAATATGAGTCATTTTATTTATCTCTAAACTTTTCAGTACAATATCTTTCAGACACAAAGAGGTGTTGCCTTTCTCACTCTGAATGTGCAAGTACAATTAATAAAACAAATCAAAATATAAAAAAAACCAACAATGACCACAAAATAAAACACAGATGGACCGGAAATCTTAGAACCAACAAGTCTGTACTCAAAGCACGAACATCCATGTTCTTAATTATAAAAAGATCAAATGCAAATAATTTCAGAAAAGGAATGTAATATTTTTCTAAACAATAAACGCAAAAAAGAGTTTTTAACAAGATGTTTGCTGAAAAAAGAATATAAGTTTCAATAAGATTCGGAATTAAAAAAGGCTTAAAGTAATTCAAATGAAAATTGTAGATACATAAAAGCAGCTTTAGTTGAATTTAACAAGAACAACAGTCAAGTAAAAAAAGGCCACAACATGAAAATAGCTTTTGAAATATTTTTAAAGCGAACGCAAAAAACAAAGTGACAAACTAATAAGTCAAAGGCAGACTAAAGAAAACGTCGAGCCTTCAAAAAGCTGGTTTCCATGGAAACCGAGGGGGTGTGGCGACACTGAGGGACAATGAGCTGTTGCTACGACAACAAATATGGCCACCACAGCGGTGTGACCACGCTGACGTGCAGTAATGCTGAGTGAGCTGGCCGTCGTCTTCTCTGCTGCAGCGCTGAGCCGACTAGGCAGTATGAATGCAGCGCATGACACTTACTTCCATCTGGTGTTGTGATAATTTGAGACGCTCTCACACCGTCACCCTCCTCGTTTCGTGCAACAACAAGGAATTCGTACGTGGCTCCTTTGTCTGTTGGAGGAAGAAAACACTTATTACAATATAGTGTAAAACAGGAACATTTTCATTCACCACCCCATTTTTAAATATCATGAAAGATGAAAGACAAAATTGTTTATTTCAGGAATCATGCAAGAGTTCTCCTTTGAACAAAGAATTTCTTAAGTTGAACAAAACAAATGCAAACTTTAAATAAGTTCTATTGGAATTTTACGAATGTGATCTGTGATATGATGTGAAGTTAAACTTGTTTATTTGATGATTTGTGGAAATTTTGGATGTTCAATACAAATCAATATTTAAATTAGGATAAGGATAAACCTGATGTATTTTTCAGATTTGCAGATTTACATTATGGCTAAACAGTCACAACTGTTTTACGTGCAGCTAGTAAAATACAATTAGTTAAAGTCAAATTCTGAAAAGATAAATCAAAAGTTTGAATAATCAGGGTTAGGATAATTGGTATTCTATTGTATTTGTAAACACAAGGCACAAGGTTCTATTTTACTCTATTGATACCATTTTCAGTAATAAAACTGGTATAATGGGTTCAACTATCTAATCACAAAACAAAACCTCATTGACTTCAGTTAATGTTTGCTGGAAAAAAGAGGCAGAATATCAAGGCTTTACTAGGATTGCCTTTGCTACAATTATTGACAAGGGAGACAATATTATTTTTTTATATTGAGAATTTATAAATAAACTTCATTTATATTACATCAATTATGAAACAAGTTACAGATATTAGCATAGATATTATGTGAAACTTACTAGTCTGAAAACCCCAGAAATACAGAATATATATTTTCCTTAGAGCCTCAAAACGGGCGAATTGTAGTCTTTGTGTTTTGTATTTTCCTTATATATATAGTCTGAAGAATCTCCTAGAAGGAATGAAAGTACTAAAGACTTGTTGTTGAAAACACATACTGTACTCTTGACATTAAACAAATGGAATGCAACCTTTTTGAACTGATGAGCCCAAGATTGGTGAGATGTCAGATTAACCAGATTCCATTGCTTGTTACGTACCTAAGATATCCGAGATGTAAGCATGATGTATGGGGCCTAGATTGACCAGCGAGTATTTTTCCCCTCTCCGTCCCCAGAACACCTTATAGCCGGCCAGCTTGCCGTGGGTTTCTCGCGGCCGCTGCCATGTGACCTGAACTTGTGGAGGATCTTCGCCCAGGAATTCCACGTTAAGGTTCCGTGGCATAGTGGGAACTGTAAATGACATGACCAAAAATTAAGGTTACTTTATAAAATGTACATTTCAAGTTGTATCACACAGCTGGACATCTTAAGCATGTATTTCAAGGAAAGGCTTTCCAGTAAGAATATAGCCTGCAGTACACTATAGATACGGACTTACCTGCCCCTGATGTGACGATGAACTTCTCTTTACTGCGCTGACCGTCGCCCCTCCTTGTATAACCGGCCACCTTGATAGAATACTTGGTGGCAGGGTCAAGACTAGTGATGACCGCTTCCCGTCGATTACCATCAGTTGTGTCAAAGATACGTTCTGTACCAGCCTTTGGCCGATTTTTGCTGTCTACAACAACACAGTATACTTGGTAGCCACGTATAATTCCATTTTCTCGCTGTGTCTCTGGGGGTCGCCATTCAACAAATATGGTGGTCGAGTTAATGGCTTCAACTGTGACAGATTTGGGAGGCCCAGGAACTGTAACAAAAACAACATGGCTTCCATTGCATATTTTATACAAACAAAGAGCTATAAATAGAGTTCTGGTATTAGTGTTGTATGTCAGCAGTGAATGCCAAAGATCTACACGCAGTATATATACAGACAACTTCATGTACACCAGTATATATACAGACAACTTCATGTGAAATAAGCTCTCAAACAGGAAGAACATTTTTGTAGTTCTGTCTAACTTTTCTATTAAGTAAAATGACAGTTCTGGATTTTTATTCCGAAAATCCTAAAATCTCAAGTTGTCAGTTGAGTTGAAAAACAGCTATCAGTGTAGACTAGGCAGAAAGGTGTCACCAAATGGAGGCCTAGGATATAGTTTTCAGACAATAATGGTTTGGTGTTTCTAAGGAACATTGTTTATAAGGAGACTAAAATTCCTTTTCAATACGCTTTTTGGTCAGAAAACATATACTACAGTTTACTGTCCAGTTGCGATGAACTTGACCTCCATAAAAAAGGCCATTGCATTTGTGGTGATAAACTAACCTTTTGACCTGTGTGCCGAAAGTATTAACTTTCCTATTCAGTTTCCTGCAGTACATTCTTAATGCTAGCAATACATTTTGTGTCTTGTTACAGTTGAATAACAGGCTTATTGCAGTATAATTTGTTACCTATTGCAGTAGAATCTGTGACTTATTGTAGTAGAATCTGTGACTTATTGTAGTAAAATCTGTGACTTATTGTAGTAAAATCTGTGACTTATTGTAGTAAAATCTGTAACTTATTGTTGTAGAATTTGTGACTTATTGTAGTAGAATCTGTGACTTATTGTAGTAGTATCTGTAACTTATTGTTGTAGAATCTGTGACTTATTGTAGTAGAATCTGTGACTTATTGTAGTAAAATCTGTAACTTATTGTTGTAGAATCTGTTACTTAGTGTAGTAGAAGTTGTGACTTATTGTTGTAGAATCTGTGACTTATTGTAGTAGAATCTGTGACTTATTGTAGTAGAATCTGAGACTTATTGTAGTAGAATTTGTTACCTTTTATTATGAGAATTTGTCACTTATTATAGTTACAAAAGAACCAGAACTAGAAAATTTGATCTTTAGAGCTGAGTTCACATGACATTGCCAGTCAACGCCTATTCCGAGTAAGAGATAGATAATAGTTTGTAAGCGCTTGTCTAAAGCAATTCCTATACTGGGCATATTTTAACTGATATACTTTGTGCATCAACAAGCTTTAAAAACACAAGCACGCAAACTCAGAAAAGAGGCAAACATTTTGATAATCTCAAAGTTTTCTTGTTTAAGTTCAAAAATGCACATTCCTTGTGTGAAAAGTATCAAAATGCACTCGATCATGCTTCTGGGAAGAATAACATTTTTATGAAACAGAACTAAACAAAACTTTCTGTCCATGCAGCACCAAATGATGATTTTTCACATGCAATTATTTAAAATATTAAAAAAAAAAAATCAATTCCAAAATGCATAATATAAACATAACAAACTAAACTACTCCAAATTAATTTCATAGGCAAAAAATTTGCTCTTGAATACAATTAAAAAATCTAGTAAATATAAAAAACGAACGCAGTTGAAAAATTCATAAAATATATATATAAAAGATATGATGTAGTTCAAAAATAAAGTCTAAAAAAAATATCTAGTAAATTGCAAAACTAGGATTTTCCAAAAAGAAATCTTTGCTGACTTGCTGAACAGTGCAAAAAAATAAATATCTAAAAATAATCAATTAAACAAATGTAAATTAAAACAAAAATCATCAAGAAGGCAGGAAGTGCAAGATCCTTTATTTTATTGGAGTATAGGTGTCTAGTTTAAGTGGACTTGGGTTGCTGATAAAGCGTCTGATAAAGTTTCCACATCACAGAAGCTATGTGGTTTTCACAGCCTAGCTCGCTGCACAGCATCCAAGTTGCCATACCAACAACCAAAATGGAGATTTCAAAATAAGACTGAACCCCTCAGCCAGACTTTTAATTTTCTATCATGTAGCAATTTTGATGTTATCTTTTGGATTTGGTTGGTGCACACACCCAAATACATATCTATGCTACACGAGACCAAGGTGTAAGTTATGTAGTATATAATGTATATACATATCTAGGCTACACGAGACCAAGGTGTAAGGTGTAGTATATAATGTATATACATATCTAGGTCTAATCTAGGATCACAGAAAGCTTCCAAACAGTTTCTAGAAAGAAAACAAAAAATGGCAGAAAAGACTGTTCAACTAGAATCTACGTCTCAGAATATGCTATTCCGTAAAGCAGCTTGTACGAGCTACAAACAAAATTCCCTCTAGTCAGAAGAGTTACACGTATACTTTTCAGACACTTTTTTTTTAAGTCTCCAGGTATTTTGACAATTTTCTCTTTTCTACAATAGCACTTCTTACTTTATGTAGTATAAACTGTCCTCCTGTTAATTGTACACAATTTAGATTTAGATTTATATTCAGATCAAATTTGTATTAATTTCCCCAATGGTTGAGCAATATTTATTTCAACTGCGCACCGCAGCGCTGTCGCATGCAATGACTCTGTAGTAAAGAAAGGCAGCATTTGCACGGATAATGCTATATCCTTGACTAGGAATTCTGGTCTAAAACAAGAGCTGTAACCAAAAAAAGGAATCGGCTCCTACGTGGTGGTGTATGTTTATCTGGTCGCTGAGAAAAAAAGATGTCATGCAATTGATATAATGAAATCAGTCATTCATGGTCACATCAGATATATATTGTAATATATTCAATATAAAAAACACTGAAGTCAAAACGGTACAAAAATTTCATCGCATTAGTTCTGATATATACATATATACAAGTATATATACTGTATATATATGATGTCTGGTTCAGAATGGTGTCAATTTTCTCCTACACTGGTTTCACACCAAGTTGGTTTACATATATATATATAAAAGATGTTAGTTGTAAAACAGACATGCTGAGCCAATCAAACGAACACTTCAAACGAGGAAGGAATTTCATTAGACAAGTACTGTACATACATTGTGGTGTTACTCCGGGAACAAACATGTTTACCTCATCATGTTGATTTGTAAACAAACATACAAAAAATCACATAATAGATATTGCAGAATGTGTCATATACATGAATGGTAACCATTTCTGTGGGATGACAGTATTTACCGACATCCTTCTATGTCATATACATGAATGGTAAACATTTCTGTGGGATGACAGTATTTCCCGACATCATTCTATTTCATATACATGAATGGTAACCATTTCTGTGGGGTGACAGTATTTACCGACATCATTCTATGTCATATACATGAATGGTAACCATATTGTGGGATGACAGTATTTACCGACATCATTCTATGTCATATACATGACTGGTAACCATATTGTGGGATGACAGTATTTACCGACATCATTCTATGTAATATACTCGAATGGTACCCATTTCTGTGGGATGACAGTATTTACTGACATCATTCTATGTCATATACTCGAATGGTAACCATTTCTGTGGGATGACAGTATTTCCCAGCATCATTCTATGTCATATACAGGAATGGTAACCATTTCTGTGGGATGACAGTATTTACCGACATCATTCTATGTAATATACTCGAATGGTACCCATTTCTGTGGGATGACAGTATTTACCGCCATCATTCTATGTCATATACATGAATGGTAACCATTTCTGCAGGATGGCAGTTTTTACCGACATCATTCTATGTCATATACTGGAATGGTAACCATTTCTGTGTGATGACAGTATTTACCGACATCATTCTATGTCATATACTCGAATGGTAACCATTTCTGTGGGATGACAGTATTTGCCGACATCATTCTATGTCATATACATGAATGGTACCCATTTCTGTGGGATGACAGTATTTACTGACATCATTCTATGTCATATACTCGAATGGTAACCATTTCTGTGAGATGACAGTATTTACCGACATCATTCTATCTCATATACATGAATGGTAACCATTTCTGTTGGATGATAATATTTACTGACATCATTCTATGTCATATACTCGAATGGTAACCGTTTCTGTGAGATGACAGAATTTACCGACATCATTCTATGTCATATACATGAATGGTACCCATTTCTGTTGGATGACAATATTTACTGACATCATTCTATGTCATATACATGAATGGTAACCGTTTCTGTGGGATGACAGTATTTGCCGACATCATTCTATGTCATATACATGAATGGTACCCATTTCTGTTGGATGACAATATTTACTGACATCATTCTATGTCATATGCTCGAATGGTAACCATTTCTGTGAGATGACAGTATTTACTGACATCATTCTATGTCATATACATGGATGGTAACCATTTCTGTTGGCTGACAATATTTACTGACATCATTCTATGTCATATGCTCGAATGGTAACCATTTCTGTGAGATGACAGTATTTACCGACATCATTCTATCTCATATACATGAATGGTAACCATTTCTGTTGGATGACGAAATTTACTGACATCATTCTATGTCATATACTCGAATGGTAACCATTTCTGTGGGATGACAGTATTTACCGACATCATTCTATGTCATATACATGGATGGTAACCATTTCTGTGGGATGACAGTATTTACTGACATCATTCTATGTCATATACATGGATGGTAACCATTTCTGTGAGATGACAGTATTTACCGACATCATTCTATGTCATATACATGAATGGTAACCATTTCTGTTGGATGACAATATTTACTGACATCATTCTATGTCATATACTCGAATGGTAACCATTTCTGTGAGATGACAGTATTTACCGACATCATTCTATGTCATATCCTCGAATGGTAACCATTTCTGTGAGAGGACAGTATTTACCGACATCAGTCTGTCATATACATGAATGGTATCCATTTCTGTTGGATGACACTATTTACTGACATCAATCTATGTCATATACTCGAATGGTAACCATTTCTGTGGGATGACAGTATTTACCGACATCACTCTATGTTACCATTCTATGATATTTTTTAATGGTTTTCTATTGTACCAATCATGCATGAATTTAGTCAAAAAATGATTCTCTACAGAAACATTTTGTAATTGGGCCAAATGAACTCTAATTTTTGTCTGGAGTAAGAGCACGAAATGTTATACTAGTCCATATTTTCATTTTTCATGATTTCTAAAAATGGTCAATCTCAATGATTAATCAATTTCATGTTCCAAATTCAACGAAATGTGGCAGGTTTTGTTTGTTAATGGATTGACACACACAACATTCACAAACATAGAAAAAAACAGAGAGAAGACAGAGGAAAGAAATCCATACTAGCCACAAGGAAACAGGGTGACAGTAAAACGGACATGCAGGGTACATGCAGCATGCTTGTTAGTTTCCATGGAAACATATACTCATTTGTATATATTAGAGTCATTGGAATATATACTTACACATTCAAAATAATTAATATACAAGAAAAAATATGTTTCTCAGCTATAGATACCATCGCCAATTTAAGTGTTACTAGAAATTTGGGGTCAGGGTTCAAAGTTCAAGACTAGAATTTTTGTGAATGAAAAACATGTTTGGATTATTATGGGATATGAAGAGAGGAAATGATTTGAAATGGAATTGGTATGAATGATATTAGAAAGATGTAAAGGAATGAAATAGATCTCATTTCTATAGTGTTCGCAATGATGACTACTGACAGGTAGTAGAATTAGTAGATAAATGATGACTTTTACCGACAGGTAGTAGAATTAGTAGATAAATGATGACTATCACCGACAGGTAGTAGAATTAGTAGATAAATGAATATCTTTTTTCGGAAAGAACATGACAGATGCACTCATCTTAAATAATTAGTCAACAGACACAGGTAATGAATGGTTCTGTAAGATGAGTGTGTAAAGAAAAGGATACAAAGAGGTGAGGAAAACGATGATGCAAAAGACCAATGAATTAATGGGAGGTAAATGAGGATGCAATATCAGAAAAAATGAGTGCAATGAAGAAAGAAATGACATTAATGAAAATGAACAATGATACAAGTGTGCTCATATGATGTAATAATTATAAAAAACGAAACTATCATTTTCTTGTCAAATGTGAGTGAAAAACCTCAATCAAATGACAATAAAAAGGATGTACTTTTTAAATAATATCACTTTTACAACAAATAAAAGGATGTTTCTTTTTCACAATCTCCTTTATATATGTGTATTTAGTTCTACTTCCAAAGACAAATGATACTGACTGTTTGCTATAAACACATAATGGTGATTGTTTCCTCCATAATTTAATTGAACACGGTTCAGAAGTTTATTACTTGACTAAACCAATATGACAATTGGGATGAAAATGATGAAGAAAGATGATGATATTGAATTGTTGGGATGATATTAGTAAGAAACTTCCTGATGTATGGAAAAAGAGGAGGAGAAAGGACTTCAAGATGTAGATTTGAAATAAAGATCTGGTTGTATAAGTTTTGGAAAGGCTTCTAAACCAGATACCAAAACAGTTAATTCAAACAAGGAATCTATTAGTATTAAATATTTGCTAATGTAAAACTCAAATAATAGATATCTGTTTAAGTTCCTTTTCCACAGCCAACCAGAATTAGCATATAACTACTGCAGCGAGTAGCCAATCAGAGCAGACGCTACCTACCATCTTCATCGGTCGACACGATGATGGGCTGCGATTTAGGGCCATCACCCACACTTGTGGACGCCAGCACCCAAATCTTATACTGCGTCCACACCGACAGGTTCGCTAGCGTCAACTTGTTGGGGACTGCATTCACGGTAACAGACTGAGCATCTTCTTCTGACAAATCAGGCACATTTTTCACGTAAAAAATCTTATAGCCTGTTATGTCACCATTTTGCTGATCTGGAGGAGGAGGGTTCCACGTGACCTCAATACTCCGAGAGTCGATTGGTCGGCCGCTAAGATTTTGAGGCTCACCACTTGGAACTGAATTGTCATAATTCAAGATGGCCATGGGTGGATCATTTTCAAGGGGGTCATTGGGGAAGATCGACAATAAAAGAGAAAAACAAAGAAGACAAGAAATAAAAAAAGATGAAAAACAAAACATAAATAATAAAAAACATGACAAAAAACAACATGCAGCATTGTATGATCGTTGTAATGACAGACTTATGTGGTCGAAAAGAAAAGAAAGAAATGATTTATAAAAGCTCAAGTCTTTCGTGAAATTTTAAGGCGAAAAAAATAAAAACAAACACATAAGGCTATGCTATTTGAGTCATGGATCGAACTTAACGCAATAATTTTTTGTTTTATACTTCCATTTCCAAGTAAACTAAAGATTGCCCAATATGAAAACACTGGATTTCAACATCATTCCAAATACCTTAAAATGCATCAATTCAGTTTTAACATTTCCTATATCAATTGCAAAACTTCCAAACCAACTAAAATGATATAAAGGAACAAATACTTCAGGCTTTACTACAGATGCATATCATAGGAGAATTCTATAGTCTAAACAGAAGTCTAGAGAAAATGCTATATAGGTTTTATTCCATGATTCTGAAACTGTAGCATCAATTTTTGTAGTAGAAGTTCATAGCATCATTGATGTAGAAAGCAGATTACATGCCTCCGATAGTTATATATCAGAATATCTAGGATATGTAAAGTAGCGACCATTGTTGGTCTAACTACACATGCAAGAGAGGCATACGTTAGACCATTTCAAACAGGGCGACTTAATAATACCCATCACACTGATTACCAGAGAACCATTTCCCAACAATCCTTCACAGAATCATATATTTCTTGAGTTGCAGTTTAAGAATAGGGGTGGGGCAAATACATTCTTTTATAAAATATTTCTTTCCTCTGAGCTAATTACAAGTTCTGTTATAACATATTTCTTTCCTCTGAGCTAACTACAAGTTCTGTTATAACATATTTCTTTCCTCTGAGATAACTACAAATTCTGTTATAAAATATTTCTTTCCTCTGAGCTAACTACAAGTTCTGTTATAACATACTTCTTTCCTCTGAGCTAACTACAAGTTCTTTTTCTTGAATGGTATGACATGCAATTCATGCCTTTACTTTTCAACAATGAAGTAGGAAATTTGTTATCTCCCTTGGTTTTGCCCTTGTAGTTGGTACCATTGTAGGTTTGATCCTCAATGGCACTACAGTAGCCAGTGGTCAACCAATAGATGACCAGTGGTCAAGTCAACACATGCTGGTTCTTGTCTCAAGACCTGATTTTACCCATCTCATACATGTGTCCACTTCTTTTGGTGAAACTTCTGCAGCGGCAATTCTATGAAGGATTTTCTGCTATTCTACGAAGGATTTTTCAGCTATTCTACAAAGGATTTTTCTTTAATTCTATGAGGAACTTTTCTATAGGTAAATCATCTGCTACTGTGTGGCTGTCATTTTGCTATTATATGAGGAACTTTTCTATAAAATACTATATAGTTATTTCTACTACTGTATGGGAGATACTCTGCTATAGTGTGAGGGAATTCTACCACTGTAAGGGAGATGCTCTGCTACAGTGTGAGGGAATTCTACCACTGTATGGGAGATGCTCTGCTACAGTGTGAGGGAATTCTACCACTGTATGGGAGATGCTCTGCTACAGTGTGAGGGAATTCTACCACTGTATGTGAGATCCTCTGCTATAGTGTGAGGGAATTCTACCACTGTATGTGAGATCCTCTGCTATAGTGTGAGGGAATTCTACCACTGTAAGGGAGATGCTCTGCTACAGTGTGAGGGAATTCTACCACTGTATGTGAGATACTCTGCTATAGTGTGAGGGAATTCTACCACTGTATGGGAGATATTCTGCTATAGTGTGAGGTAATTCTACCACTGTATTGGAGATACTCTGCTATAGTGTGAGGGAATTCTACCACTGTATGTGAGATACTCTGCTATAGTGTGAGGGAATTCTATCACTGTATGTGAGATTCTCTGCTATAGTGTGAGGAAATCTACCACTGTATGTGAGATTCTCTGCTGTAGTGTAAGGGAATTCTACCACTGTATGTGAGATACTCGGCTATAGTGTGAGGGAATTCTACCACTGTATGTGATATTCTATGCTATAGTGTAAGGGAATTCTACCACTGTATGTGAGATACTCTGCTATAGTGTGAGATATTCTGCTATAGTGGGAGGGAATTCTACCACTGTTTGTGAGATATTCTGCTATAGTGTGAGGTAATTCTACCACTCTAGGGGAGATACTCTGCTACAGTGTGAGGAAATTCTACCACTGTATGGGCGATATTCTGCTACAGTGTGAGGTAATTCTACCGCTGTATGGGAGATATTCTGCTACAGTGTGGGGTAATTCTACCACTGTATGTGAGATTCTCTTCTATAGTGTGAGGGAATTCTTCCACTGTATGTGAGATGCTCTGCTACAGTGTGAGGGAATTCTTCCACTGTATGTGAGATGCTCTGCTACAGTGTGAGGGAATTCTTCCACTGTATGTGAGATGCTCTGCTATAGTGTGAGGTAATTCTACCGCTGTATGGGAGATATTCTGCTATAGTGTGAGGTAATTCTACCGCTGTATGGGAGATATTCTGCTATAGTGTGAGGTAATTCTACCACTCTAGGGGAGATACTCTGCTACAGTGTGAGGAAATTCTACCACTGTATGTGGTATTCTATGCTATAGTGTAAGGGAATTCTACCACTGTATGGGAGATATTCTGCTACAGTGTGAGGGAATTCTACCACTGTATGTGAGATATTCTGCTATAGTGTGAGGGAATTCTACCACTGTATGTGAGATTCTCTGCTATAGTGTGAGGGAATTCTACCACTGTATGTGAGATGCTCTGCTATAGTGTGAGGGAATTCTACCATTGTATGTGAGATACTCTGCTACAGTGTGAGGGAATTCTACCCCTATATGGGAGATTCTATGCTATAGTGTGAGGGAATTCTACCACTGTATGTGAGATACTCTGCTACAGTGTGAGGGAATTCTACCACTATATGGGAGATTCTATGCTATAGTGTGAGGGAATTCTACCACTGTATGGGAGCTGCTCTGCTATAGTGTGAGGGAATTCTATCACTGTATGGGAGATATTCTGCTACAGATTCTCTGCTGTAGTGTAAGGGAATTCTACCATTGTATGTGAGATTCTCTGCTATAGTGTGAGGTAATTCTACCACTGTCTGGGAGATACTCTGCTATAGTGTGAGGGAATTCTCCCCCTGTATGGGAGATATTCTGCTACAGTGAGAGGGAATTCTTCCACTGTATGTGAGATACTCTGCTATAGTGTGAGGTAATTCTACAACTGTATGGGAGATACTCTGCTATAGAGTGAGGGAATTCTACCATTGTATGTGAGATTCTCTGCTGTAGTGGAAGGGAATTCTACCATTGTATGTGAGATTCTCTGCTGTAGTGTAAGGTAATTCTACCATTGTATGTGAGATACTCTGCTTTAGTGTGAGGTAATTCTACCACTGTATGGGAGGTACTCTGCTACAGTGTGAGGGAATTCTTCCACTGTATGGGAGATATTCTGCTACAGATTCTCTGCTGTAGTGTAAGGGAATTCTACCATTGTATGTGAGATTCTCTGCTGTAGTGGAAGGGAATTCTACCATTGTATGTGAGATACTCTGCTATAGTGTGAGGTAATTCTACAACTGTATGGGAGATACTCTGCTATAGAGTGAGGGAATTCTACCATTGTATGTGAGATTCTCTGCTGTAGTGGAAGGGAATTCTACCATTGTATGTGAGATACTCAGCTATAGTGTGAGGTAATTCTACCAATGTATGGGAGATACTCTGCTATAGTGTGAGGTAATTCTACAACTGTATGGGAGATACTCTGCTATAGTGTGAGGTAGTTCTACCACTGTATGGGAGATACTCTGCTATAGTGTGAGGTAATTCTTCCACTGTATGGGAGATACTCTGCTATAGAGTGAGGGAATTCTACCATTGTATGTGAGATACTCAGCTATAGTGTGAGGTAATTCTACCACTGTATGGGAGGTACTCTGCGACAGTGTGAGGGAATTCTACCACTGTATGGGAGACTGTATGGGAGATATTCTGCTACAGTGCGAGGGAATTCTACCACTGTATGTGAGATGCTCTGCTATAGTGTGAGGGAATTCCACCACTGTATGGGAGATGCTCTGCTATAGTATGAGTGAATTCTACCATTGTATGTGAGATTCTCTGCTGTAGTGGAAGGGAATTCTACCATTGTATGTGAGATTCTCTGCTATAGTGTGAGGTAATTCTACAACTGTATGGGAGATACTCTGCTATAGTGCGAGGGAATTCTACCACTGTATGGGAGAGATTCTGCTACAGTGTGAGGGAATTCTTGTGAGGGAATTCTACCACTGTATGCGAGATACTCTGCTACAGTGTGAGGGAGTTCTACCACTATATGGGAGATATTCTGCTATAGTGTAAGGGAATTCTACCACTGTATGGGAGAGATTCTGCTACAGTGTGAGGGAATTCTCCCACTGTATGTGAGATACTCTGCTACAGTGTGAGGGAATTCTACCATTGTATGTGAGATTCTCTGCTGTAGTGTAAGGGAATTCTACCATTGTATGTGAGATACTCTGCTATAGTGTGAGGTAATTCTACCACTGTATGGGAGATACTCTGCTATAGTGTGAGGTAGTTCTACCACTGTATGGGAGAGATTCTGCTACAGTGTGAGGGAACTCTACCATTGTATGGGAGATGCTCTGCTACAGTGTGAGGGAATATCTCCCATACAGTGATAGAATTCCCTAACACTGTAGCAGAATATCTACCACTGTATGGGAGACGCTCTGCTATAGTGTGAGGGAATTTTACCACTGTATGGGAGATACCACTGTATGGGAGATACTCTGCTCTAGTGTGAGGGAATTCTACCCCTGTATGGGAGCTATTCTGCTACAGTGTGAGGGAAATCTACCACTGTATGGGAGAGATTCTGCTACAGTGTGAGGTAATTCTATCGCTGTATGGGAGATATTCTGTTACAGTGTGAGGTAATTCTACCAATGTATGGGAGATACTCTGCTCTAGTGTGAGGGAATTCTACCTCTGTATGGGAGATGCTCTGCTACAGTGTGAGGGAAGTCTACCACTGTATGGGAGAGATTCTGCTACAGTGTGAGGGAATGCTACTACTGTATGGGAGATATTCTGCGACAGTGTGAGGGAATTCTACCGCTGTATGGGAGATGCTCTGCTATGGTGTGAGGGAATTCTACCACCGTATGGGAGATGCTCTGCTACAGTGTGAGGGAACTCTACCATTGTATGGGAGATACTCTGCTCTAGTGTGAGGGAATTCTACCACGGTATGGGAGATGCTCTGCTATAGTGTGCGGGAATTCTACCACTGTATAGGAGATACTCTGCTATAGTGTGAGGGAATTTTACCACTGTATGGGAGATGTTCTGCTATAGTGTGAGGGAATTTTACCACTGTATGGGAGATGCTCTGCTATAGTATGAGGGAATTCTACCACTGTAGGGGAGATATTCTGCTACAGTGATAGAATTACCTCACACTGTAACAGAATATCTCCCATACAGCGGTAGAATTCCCTCACACTATAGCGGAGTATCTCACATACAATGGCAGAATTCCCTCACACTATAGATACAGTGGTAGAATTACCTCACACTAAAGCAGAGTATCTCACATACAAGGGTAGAATTCCCTTACACTACAGCAGAGAATCTCCCATACAGTGGTAGATATTCTGCTACAGTGTGAGGGAATTCTATCACTGTATGGGAGATATTCTGCTACAGTGTGAGGTAATTCTATCACTGTATGGGAGATACTCTGCTATAGTGTGAGGGAATTCTTCCACTGTATGGGAGATATTGTGCTACAGTGTGAGGTAATTCCATCACTGTATGGGAGAGGCTCTGCTATAGTGTGAGGGAATTCTACCACTGCATGGGAGATGCTCTGCTACAGTGTGAAGGAATTCTACCACTGCATGGGAGATGCTCTGCTACAGTGTGAAGGAATTCTACCACTGCATGGGAGATGCTCTGCTACAGTGTGAGGGAATTCTACCACTGTATGTGAGATATTCTGCTACAGTGTGAGGGAATGCCATTAGGGTTATTTCCTAAATCTTCTGTTAGGCTATGAGAGAATCTGCTGCTATTCTATTGATGTTTTGCTTCTCTACCGGTAAATTTTCTACCATTCAATATGGTAACTGCCATCGTAAATTTGAACTAATACTATTTTGAGGTAGAGATAATGTACACTATTGTTACATTGATTATTCTGGTACCATTTTCCTACTCTCCCAAATAAACATTGAACACTATCTTGATCAACACGATTTGTTAAAGGCTCTCCCTCTGCAGACAGTACAATAACAATAAATATAAAGAAGTGTAGGGCACGATATAGATATATTTACTTAGTGGACCTTTGTTAACTGACTACAGCAATATCCAGGACTAAATTGAAACACAGAATTTTAACTGCCAAAAGTTTCAGAAAACAAGAATTTATGAAAAAAAGTAATGTGTATATTTTGTTTGTTTGTTAGAAATTATCTGAAATGGATATTTTATAGTTCACATTAGGTCAATGGGACAACCTGAGTCAGTTTTCAACTGGTTACATTTATAGAGAATGACTTAAACAGATGATTTGATCCATGAGTCAAATATATATAAACACTCTACGCCGTGAACAGCTACGATACAACAGATAGCTGTGACAATGGTATGTAGTCCACTACACAGAGCTGTGTTCTCGTCCTTTTCCTAACACCAAAATGGGACCAAAATCCCATTTTATGATGATTACTTGATTCTGTGAGTATCTTTCCCCTCCATCACTTCCCCTGTCGAAACTTGTTGTCATACAATACTACATAATGTTATGTTAATAACAGTCTCCGCGAACCTCAGTCACCACAAAACTGTTTAGAATATTGCCAGACATTTGGTCCTTAAACATCCCGTACCTTTTTCTGACCAGATAGATAGATAGATAGAATTCTTTATTCCCTCTTGGTGAAGAGATTACAGGCAGATCACTTTGCTATCTTTATTTTATTTTTTTGCTTTGCAGGCTTACTGCTTCTAGTCAAGGGCACCCAAGTTGAAAATTTCAACAGGATCGTACTGAAGTATTTAACTTACAATTAAACACGTTCATTTGGAAACATGTTTTCTGATTTGGTGCGTTCATTAATTGTAATAAAAAAAGGCCTGTCTGGAGACCCAATGAGGATACATGAGAAATCGGCAGCAAACAAGTAAGCCAACGCCATACTAACACCGTTGAACCGACATATTTGTATCTGAAGTGCGAGGAGGTTCTGAAGGTTTTGCGGACACTGTTAGTAAAGCATTATAACACATATTCACAAAAAGACAATTTATGGGAACAAGAGGCCCATTTGGCCTGTATCGCTTACTTGTCAATTGAACAAAGTTGAGCCTTTTGTGGCCGACTCAGGTTACTTATTGATCAAAGAATAAAACTAGCATTTGGTAAGAATATTAGCAGCATTTATATTGACAAAAGGGAATTGTACTTTAAAAAAATTAACCTCAAAAATGTTAGGTAGCCTTTTGACGGTTAACCCTTATTTCCCCTTTTGACGGTTAACCCTTATTTCCCCTTATGGGCCCCATCCTTAATGAACAATGAATTCCCTTGACCAAGGGATGTCCCACAACAAATTTTGTGAAAATATCTGCAGCTGTTCAAGATAAGTAGTCATTTGAAATAAAAAGAAGTTGACAGAGTGACGATGGATGCCGCACCCCAGCATAAGCTCATTTGGCTTCATGAGTCATTAGAGCTAAAAAGAATAATACATAATACACTGACAATAAAACAATGATAATGATTTCTATGAGCAATATGATAAATAATGTGGAAAAATTAATTTAAACAAAATTAATTCATGATTTCAAAGAGTCACTTATAGTCATTTTGGTTTTAAGTACAGTGTTCATTGAAAGATCTGTCAGTTTTTACAACAGTAGATACTTTCTATACAAGTCAGTAGTGATAGTTATCATTTTTGTCCCTCCACTTGTGACATCAAACTTACTGTTATATTCCTTTGTCACTGATGTTTAAAGTCAAATATAACATTTACAAAAAGGCATTTCCTAGCATGTCCTCATAGAGTCAAACGTCAAATCATACAAAATATGAATTTCGTGAAGAACCGAAAACAAACAGGTAAAATGTGATGAAGTTTTACCCAACAATGAAGAATTGTTCACTAACAGATACACAAGAAATCAAAGAAGCAGAAAGACAGTTTCTGATAACCTACAGCAACAAAGAGTACAGTTAAAATCTATAAACAAACACGGAGCAAATAAACCGACCAACTACATGGAGATAATTATCAAGTCAAAATAGCTCCACAACCAAACCAAAAAACAAGGAAACATTGAAGATGGGGTGGATCAGACACGGTGAACAAACACTGAAGGTGAAGTCACATGTGAACCGGAAATCCAAACTATATGGTACGCTTTGTGTGGGTTTAAGGTGATGTATAAATATAAAAGAAGAAAAAACAACCAGCAGATTACTCGTGGAAATAGAAAACTTTATTATAGCGGTCCAGCAACGTGGTGCACGTGTAAGCAGTGTGTTGATAAATATACATCCAACCACTGACATATCGACCCAAAACCGGGAGTAAACAATATCAATAAAAATGGAGCAACTTCAGTGGTTTACACAAAGCAGATTGGTCAACATCCTACAGTTATAGATCCTTTATTGGTGAGGTTAACGCACCATAAAGCAGGGTAAATGTGGTCGCGATTCACAACGAAAAAACCAATTCAATGTCATTGAATATTATGAGATTTAGAATGGGGATGATAATGGGAAAACATTTCTTTTCTTCAAAATGTTTAAAATTTGGGTCTGAGGAGTTCTGGGATTGGGTAGGATTAGGGAATGGACAGGAATAGTGCTCTCCCCTGTCAGTCTGGAAACAGGAGGAGTGCTCTCCCCTGTCAGCTTGGAAACAAACTGTATTCACCGGACACGATAAGAGAGGGAAAAAAATGTAAGTCTATGCTGGCTGTGAAAGTAAAATTTAAAACAAAGTTTTTTATAACAGACTTACCAAATGGCTTGGGCTTGCCTGAACCTGAAGATGTCATTTCCCAAACAAGTTTCAACAGATATTGATATTAACATGTAAACAAGACAAAGAAAGGAGATAAAAAGATGACAGATATACATATATATATAAGAAAAACAATCATGAATATGTAGAAAAGGTCACATTTTTTTGTGAAAATCAAAAAAAGCAAAAAACAATGACAACCTGGTAAAATCACCATAAAGAAAGAATTCACAGAGACACCGCCTCAAGTGGGGAGGAAAACACGGAGAGAAAGAAATCTGTGAAGGAAGACTGAAACCACAGCTAGGTCAAATGTCACCTCACGTCACAAAATCAGGGAAATAAATTCACATTAAAGTTTTATGACAATGAAGGTTTATACGTTTTATTACATAAAATAAAACAAAGCATAAATTTTTTTCAACGACTAAGGTATATCCAAACATGAAGTACGGGTACAATCACACATAAAAAGAGGAAATAATGAATATCAAAACAGAAGACATGTACAGTGGAAAACACATACCAAACTGTCGGGTCTGGACCTGGATCGTAGGTGTGTGGGCGCCCTCACCCTTCGTCGACACGGCAGACACCTGGATGTGGTAGAGTGTGTTTGGCGTCAGATCGGTCAGGCGAAAACGGGTCACAGGCGGGTCTATAGTGATATGGGCACTCTGGCGACGGTACGAATCATTGAAATATAACCTGTAGCTTATAACACTTTGATGGTTCTCTGGTGGGTCCCACGTCACTTCGATACGGTTGGGCGACAATGCAGCCGCATGCAAATTTTTGGGCTGAAGTGGCACTGTTAAATCGAAAAAAAGGCGCAAATAAATAACAACATATGAGGAATAAAAGTAGCAACAATCACTTGGTAAATATATGTCGAAAACTATTTTATTTTAAATTTTATCGATAGGAAGGCTAAGAGATATAGGATGTCTAACTGAACTGAAATATATATGTAATTCTTGAAAAGCTAACAGATATTTTTTAATCATAAACATAAAACTGACAAGATTGAAATGTTGTAGTTTTGACATGTAAAGAATGTATAATCCTGTGATTACACAGAATAATTGATGCGTTTGGCATCCTGCAGTTGAGACACTGGGCCTTAGGCTTAGTGACTTCACTAAGGTATAGCCAACTCAGACAGTGTAGGCTAGAAAGGCGCTTTGCAGTTGAAGCGAAGCCCATCGCACCTGCATTTGTAGCAACAGTATTGCGCCCGCAGATCGCTCGCGGTGGGGCGAGCACGCTTTATCAGTAAGAATTTGATAGCCTTTTGCAGGCTTCCACATCAGTAAAAGTTATGCAAATCTATTCTTATGAATTAAAAAATTACAAACTGTTACTACAGTAGATTTCTTATCTTTCTAAAACTAGGCTAGGTCATTTGGTGTCAACAGAGGTAGCAGAAACCTGTCCCCTCTGTAGTACAACATGGACTCAGCCGGTCTTAGGTCATTACAATATATAGATTATAGGTGGACTTCCCAGCAAATTGTCTAAAAAATATATAAATTCTATAAGAAGAATTTTATTTGATATTTTTTTTATTGAATATATAAATTTGTATCAATGGATGTTTACAAAAATCTGCTATAAATCATATTCTTTATTATTTATTTTCATGTTTTTTTTTATATAATTTGTGGGGGGTCCAATCTTTAATTTACAAAGCATGAGATTCTCATGACATCTAATATTTTTTTGTAACCGTGGAAACGTGACAAACTTGTCATGCATTGAGCTCAAGTGGAATCAGCATGCTGGCTAAGTTCTGTTTCCTTATAGGAAAATCTATTTCTTTTACAAAATTCACGTTGTTGCATCAATATATTGATACATTCTGCTTAACAAAAATCATCAAAATTTCTCTTGCGATGGTCAAAATATGTGAAACATTAATAATGTTAAATGAAAATTTGAGAAATTTCAAAGATTTTTTTTCTTTTCATTTTTATCAAACAATCAACACACGTTAGAATTAGGTATAACAGGAAAAAAGCAACAACAAATAAAATGTTCAATCTTAAAATCACTAAAAAAAAGATTTTTTTTTTTTTTTTTTTTTTTTTTTTTTTTTTTTNATAATTGTTTATTAACTGATAATGTGACACTGAATGAAAAAAAATATTCATTGTTGCTTTATTTTCTGTTCAAATATGATACAAAAAAAAGAAAACAAACAAAAAATTTAAACAAAATGAAAACACTCTTTTATAGATTTTTTTTTTATAATACCAGATGTGCAGATATTTTTCTCAATTTTTCTTCTTCTCTAAAATGACATTTTCCATTTTCATTAACTTCAAATACACAGTAAGCAAAATGACCCGTTTGTGAAAGTCAAATGTCATGACTTCAATGGCAAAAATAGTGTGCATTTTTGTGCTAGCATGAATTTATACATTTTTTTCTCGCTTTAGCATCTTAAATAAACTGTTAAAGTGTTATTATGAGAGCATTCAAACACTTACATGATCTAGATGAGTTAATATCTATAATATTTACAGAGACCTGATGACAGAACTACCTACAATCAAACACTTACATGATCTAGATGGGTTAATATCTATGACATGTACAGGGACCTGGTCACAGAACTACCTATAATCAAACACTTACATGATCTAGATGAGTAACGTTAATATCTATGATATGTACAGGGACCTGATGACAGAACTACCTACATTCAAACACTTACATGATCTAGATGGGTTAATATCTATGACATGTACAGGGACCTGATCACAGAACTACCTATAATCAAACACTTACATGATCTAGATGAGTAAATATCTATGACATGTACAGAGACCTGATGAGTCAGAACTACCTACAATCAAACACTTAAATAATTTAGATGAGTAACGTTAATATCTATGATATGTACAGGGACCTGATGTCAGAACTACCTACAATCACACACTTACATGATCTAGATGAGTTAATATCTATAATATGTACAGAGTCCTGATGACAGAACTTCCTACATTCAAACACTTACATGATCTAGATGAGGAACGTTAATATCTATAATATGTACAGGGCCCTGATGTCAGAATTACCTACAATCAAACACTTACATCATCTAGATGAGTTAATATCTATGATATGTACAGGGACCTGATGAGTCAGAACTCTAGATGTACAGAGACCTGATGACAGAACTACCTACAATCAAACTCTTACATGATCTAGATGAGTTAATATCTATAATATGTACAGGGACCTGATGTCAGAACTACCTACAATCAAACACTTACATGATCTAGATGAGTAACGTTAATATCTATAATATGTACAGAGACCTGATGACAGAACTACCTACATTCAAACACTTACATGATCTAGATGGGTTAATATCTATAATATGTACAGGGACCTGATGAGTCAGAACTCTAGATGTACAGAGACCTGATGACAGAATTATAGTATAATACTAAAAAAATCAGTACTTGTCATATTTTACACAATGGAACCAGGGTATCACTGAACCAAGGTAAAGAGTAGCACTGAACAAAGGTAAAGGGTAGCACTGAACAAAGGTAAAGGGTACCACTGAACCAAGGTAAAGGGTAGCACTGAACCAAGGTAAAGGGTAGCACTGAACCAAGGTAAAGAGTAGCACTGAACCAAGCTAAAGGGTAGCACTGAACCAAGGTAAAGGGTAGCACTGAACCAAAGTAAAGGGTACCGCTGAACCAAGGTAAAGGGTAGCACTGAACCAAGGTAAAGGGCAGCACTGAACCAAGGTAAAGGGTACCACTGAACAAAGGTAAAGGGTAGCACTGAACCAAGGTAAAGGGTAGCACTGAACCAAGGTAAAGGGTAGCAGCACTGAACCAAGATAAAGGGCACTGCTGAACCAAGGTAAAGGGTAGCACTGAACCAAGGTAAAGAGTAGCACTGAACCAAGGTAAAGGGTAGCACTGAACCAAGGTAAGGGGTACCACTGAACCAAGGTAAAGAGTAGCACTGAACCAAGATAAAGGGTAGCACTGAACCAAAGTAAAGGGTACCACTGAACCAAGGTAAAGGGTAGCACTGAACCAAGGTGAAGGGTACCACTGAACCAAGGTAAAGAGTAAAACTGAACCAAGGTAAAGGGTACCATTGAACCAAGGTAAAAGGTACCGCTGAACCAAGGTAAAGAGTACCACTGAACCAAGGTAAAGAGTAAAACTGAACCAAGGTATAGGGTAGCATTCAACCAAGGTAAAGAGTAGCACTGAACCAAGGTAAAGAGTAGCACTGAACAAAGGTGTAAAGGGTAGCACTGAACCAAGGTAAAGAGTAAAACTTAACCAAGGTAAAGGGTAGCACTGAACCAAGGTAAAGAGTACCGCTGAACCAAAGTAAAGATTAGCACTGAACCAAGGTAAAGGGTAGCACTGAACCAAGATAAAGGGTACAGCTGAACCAAGGTAAAGAGCAGCACTGAACAAAGGTGTAAAGGGTAGCACTGAGCCAAGGTAAAGGGTAGAACTGAACCAAGGTAAAGTGTTCCGCTGAACCAAGGTAACGGGGCGCACTGAACCAAGGGAAAGGGTACCGCTGATCCAAGGTAAAGGGTAGCACTGAACCAAGGTAAAGGGTACCGCTGAACCAAGGTAAAGGGTACCGCTGAACCAAGGTAAAGATTACCACTGAACCAAGGTAACGGGTAGCACTGAACCAAGGTAAAGGGTACCACTGAACCAAGGTAAAGGGTACCACTGAACCAAGGTAAAGGGTACCGCTGAACCAAGGTAACGGGTCGCACTGAACCAAGGTAAAGGGTAGCACTGAACCAAGGTAAAGGGTACCGCTGAACCAAGGTAAAGGGTAGCACTGAGTGGCTTTATTCTCTCTCTATTTCACCTGCAGTATTTTTGACCTATATAAACATTTTTTTTCGGGCTTAAACATACTTTTGTTGGCTAGGTATTGGTAGCAATATTGGTAAATTTAAATATCTTCACAACAATATTGTTTCTGTGTAACAATTAGCCTGAGGATTTTATCTATGTATATTTTGACAAGTGTAACACTGTATTTGTAAGGATTTTATCTTCCAACAAAAACCATTGACTATACTGAACTATTTAGATATTAGAAAAAAATATAATTTATAGTTCCCAAATGGTCATTAGGCTATCATTAGGGATCAAAAGCTTTCATCAGATTCTATCTACAAGTTGAATTTAAAGTAAGTCCTTTTGGCCCCTTGCTTACACTCCATATAGATGCCTCAACCTTATAATAGTCAAAAACTTATTGAGTGCAGTGTTCTAGTTTGCAAAAAAAGGCTTTCTCAAAAAGTTTAATCAAGTAAAATTAAGCTGTTTTTGGCTCCTAAAAATATATATTAAGGTTCAGCACAGCCTATCCCCCCCCCCCCCCCCCCCCCCCAATGCTCTGGTAAGTGAGCTAGATATAATTCATCAAATATTAAATGCATATCAAACAGCTACTAATGAGAAATTAGTAGATTAATTACTATAACTAACATCAACATATCAAAATGACAGCTCGTAAGTCCTCAGCAATGCAGAAGTACACAGACATTCAAGTCCTTGTTAATTCCACTACAACTCCATGCCAAACACTGCAATACATCTGTCTCTACGGGACAGGAAAGGTCTTATCACTATTCCAACATTGCCAAAGGAATAGCTATGAGAGTTTAACTGATATTGACATTTCACTTGTAAATATCATGCATTGTTTAGCTGATTTTGTTTACAAGCTTCAATCAATTAATACAGCACTAATGAATTCCATGACAGTTAATTCAAGATCAAGACAAAAAGTTTAAAATGCAATCTTACCGCTACTACTATCCCCTGAAACAAACATTAGTAAAGAAAAAAACTTTACTTCCCTTCACTCCTAATTTAACTAGACAGACTCTTCCTTCGTGGTTGAGGACCAGTCTATTGACGCCCACCTGACTTAGTGTTTCAGCTCTCACAAGAACACAATATAAACCAGATCATTTTAAGATGCATGCACATTTTAGATCATGATTAGCACATCATTTATAGGTATATATTATATTGGTATTCAGGGAAGGCAAAGTACAATGTATATAATTGCATTAGCTATTTTGTTTCTTTTTTTAAAAATACACTTAAAAAGTCTGTGCTGAAATAGAAAATCAAAATAAACGGGAGAAATAAACTGAAAAAGTCTATGTTTAGGTAATGGCAGCTCACCTACAATCTCTGTACCCAGGTACGGTGGAGGAAAAAGAAAAATCACGCTAAAATGAGTTACATGTTATAGACAGCTCAATACCAGTGACCAGCACATCATGTGACTACACAGCAATTAGTGAAATCTGATACAGGCTATAGTCTCACAGCTGTGACATATCTCATACAGACTATAGTTCTTCAGCATGAACCATTGGTGAACAGACAGCCGTTATTGCTCTAACACAATCGCTAGCGCTTTTCGCTTCGTGTTTTACTAGATACTTTAGATGCAGTTATCTTCTCTTTGAAACTATAGTGCAAAATTATGCTTAATTACTGTGAAATATCTTAGCTGAATTACAAGCATGGTTCTCTGAATAAATTACAATCATCTTTTAAAATTCAACATTTATTCGCATTAATATAAATTCATTAAAGAATTAATGTTGAATAATAATTCAAACTTTTCACAGTAAAAAATGTATATAGATGATGAAACATGAAAAAAACGAACATTTCAGATGAAATATGGAATTATCAATTATCTTTAACAGTTAATCAACAATATAATAAGAATTCTCAGAGAATTTTGACCAAATGTATACAAATTGAATTGTTATCAAACACTGAGCAGGTGACAAGGTGAACGTAAAAAGGTTGAGAGACGCGCATTAAGATGCAGAGCAGATTACGAACTACGAAAACTGATGCTACGTCATGCTACAGTGATAGGCGTGTATTGTGAGATTATGCGCGGGGATAATAACATATGTATGCAATCATAATAAACACAACAATCGCAGGCAGCGAGCAGATGCAGAGTCATCCATTTTGTTCAGACCCACATTAGGCAATTAATGGAAGATAAAACAGGTACCGTACGAGTATAACACTCATATAATTTAAACAATCTCACAGAAATGGAATCTCACCATTTTATTTAATCTAATTCATTTAAACTATTATTTGTTTGGGTTTCTTCTTTTTGTTTCCTAAAAATTAACTGCCTGGAAAAATAACACTAGCATGAAATTGAAGCTTTGAAATATAACGGAAGAAATGACACTGATATATATTTAGAGATTTAAAAAGGAGTTAAAATTTGGCGTCATATACGAATGAAATTCAGAATCAGAAATGGAAACATGCAGAAAATGACATCAATGAAATTTTCAGATAAAACAAAATTTTTGGAGAAAAATATTGAACACAACTCCGAAGAACACTGGAGATACAAGATTTAGCGTGCCATAACTTTATGGCTCGAACTTACCGGGAAAACAAGTTTTCCTAGAACATTGACTATCTCGCGCTGGAAGGATCGAACACAGAATTTGTCAAACACATCAAATAACACATTCAAGAACGCAATCAAAATAATTGGGCTACAGGCAGTCACATGACTCAACTACCACACGGACTTCTGCAGCAACTCCCAGTGGCAGGCTATATATAGCTACAGGGTCTAGCGTACGTATATACCTATTCTACGGTGTTTAGGATGCAATGCATACACCCACTTGTGGAAAAGCTTGAGCATAGGCGCACTCGCAGTACGCAGTCGCGACACGTGAGAACGCGCAGCAGGTTTGGGCTTTGCGTTTCGCAGCTACATGGCCATTGGCCTGTGTTTTGCAAGTGGAATGCATCACAAGCACATGTATTGTAAGCTTTAGTTATACCAATGTGTGAGTTCAACTTTTAGTCAGATTTCTATCTGAAGGAAATAGTTATTTATTTGAGACTAAATTCACCTATTTAATTTAAATATACATGTTTTTCTTTCAGATTCATTGAAATACTACTGTATTCATCTTTCCTTACTTGATAAAACCCAAAATATTAACTACCTACACAAGGTAGACAACTCTAGTCTAAGGTTGAGTGTGCTAAGGTTGATAACTTTAGTTCACAAACAGTTACCTTAAACAATTTTGTCATCATGAAAGCACACAATTATGTTTTACTACAGAAAGCAAAGCCTTGCCTTCAACAACTTTATAATTTGACAAAAAACATGGACATCTTGTGGTTCCTCCCTGCACAACGATACAACATAACTAAAGGTAGGCAACTCTAGTTGTAAGGTAGATAACTCTGTACGTAAACGGCCGTGGATCAAATGTGGCCATGTTCATCAAGCTTTTCCACAGTTGGGTCCTGAAGACTAAAATGGAGGTCTCTATGGACCATCTCAAATGCAATCGATTCCTTATGCAAACAAGTCAACTCAAAACCTAGGTTTGGTGGACTTCTTCCAAACGTTTATCACAATTCATGTTACAGTATCATTTAAATTGTCAAAATCGGAAAAAAATGTAAGTATTGTATGCTTTCCAATACAGATCAAATTTATTTTTCTATATTCAATAAATCAATATTTTCTTTTTCATTCAAAGGAATTTATATGCGGAAGTAAGTATCTGCTTGATATTACTTGAATGGTCAAGACTAAAATATATCAGTATTATTTATTTTAAATATAGTTTGAATTATTCTATCTTGCAATGTACAATAAATAATCAAGAATTCTTTCAATCATTTGTTCTGCAGAGAATGTACTTTTTAATGTTTTTCATTTGTCTGGACTTATAATATGGTATATGATAACATAAAAAATATATAAAACAAATTGATATAAATATGGATTTTTTTGTTATGATTTCTTCTAATGTTTTTGATATTCCACCAAACCAAGTTCCTGGGTGAGTAAGTAAGACGTGATGGCGGTGATGTTATTGAGATGCATTCCACATGTTTGTTGTCGGGACGGGCACTCGGTAAATAAAACTTGTTTGTCAGTGATATAAATGCTTGTGACAAGATCTATATATGTGTGTAATAAACAGCATTGTACAATTCCATGCAGGTGGCTACCTAGTTTGTAAATTTAAAGTATGCTATTTCTGGGATTGAATGAATTTGATTTTTTTTTTTTTTTTAAATTTCAGTATTGTTTTTGTTCATTTTACTTGTCATGATTAAACCAGTGTTCTTTCCCAAAATCGATAATAACATATTTAATCATTTTTGTCCTGCTTCATTTTTAAAATTCCATTCCTTGGAGGAAGTTTACCGTGACAGTTTGGGTTGTACCAGTGAAGTAATATTGATAGCAGTGACTAGGTTTGTAATTTTTGATATACTGTAGGGTAGGGAAATAGAAAGTCCTAGAATTGTAGATGTTTGTAGTGATGTTGATACGCTTAACTTTAACTGTGTTGTAAAATGTGAGTCGATAATAATTAGAAAATACGAATAAGGAAAAAAAGGTGAACAAAAAGTAATTTTGAATAATTTGCACCAAATGATATAGAACACATTGTGATATTAAGTATCTGATACTTTTTGAATCATATTTGCTATTTAGACCACATTTTTATATTTACATGTTTTTGTCAATAAATATATATGTATTTATATTCATATTTCAAAAAAAGGTTAAAAAATTAGGTTAATATATATATGCCCATATATGGTGTATCAAGATTTTATAGATAGTGTGAATTATGTGGAATATATGCGGTTTCTACGTATATATCCATATTTGGTGTATAATCGATAAATATGTATTATATATAGATATATATGGTGTATTATGATATAAATATAAGTATGTACACATATAAATATATTGGGCTATTACATTTGTATAGTTATAGACATTGGTACAGCCACCTATTTCTGTGGCGAATGAGGTAATTGAGCAGGTCTATATATGGTGGGGGGTATATCAGTGTACCAGTAGTTATATGTAAATACATAATGGAGACAGTACAAAACATATCTGTGATTCATATGGCAGGCATTCTATGTAAAACACAATAATTATTATCACCGAAAAAACATACAGCATGGCATTTTTAATGTTGCCCATTTGAACACGGCATGCCCCAAATCTCTTGGTTGACAGATATCGTTCAGCAACATAGTACCCGATAAAAACAATACAGAGAAAGTAACGGACATGCTGCTAGATATACGCTGCGAGAGACACACCGACGGTGGTCTGCTCGGTAGTGAGTGAGACAGGGTAATCATCCAGTTTCATACTAACAAAGTCCTTATACAGGCATGCACTCAGACTTTCATGCAGTTTGTTATCAAAACCTCGAGCAAAAAGATGCGGAGTCTGAGTTTGAGTACAAACGGAGGTGTGCTATGTCAAGACCAACCATTCACATCATTTACCAATCCACCATGTAAGCTACATGGTCCATCATTCTAGAGACGATAGGGAAAAAAAACTTTCGATCTAATGAGAGTACTTTGCATTCTGTACCCCATGGAGGCATAGCACTAGAGGGTGTCGGTGGGTGTTCACAGTGACAGGATTGGGGCGCATACCTCCTTGACGAGTCATGACCTGGATGAGATCGGATACAGGCCCCTCCCCCTTGCTAGAATAGGCCAAGATACACATGTGGTAGGTCACATTAGCCTGTAGGTTCTCGATGGTCACCACATTCTTATCGGAGTTGACATCATGTCGTTTCCACAGGATGATTGGAAGATCAGGATCTAGTGTGTAGAAAATCTTGTAGCCCTGAAAAAATTGGAAAAGAGGAAAGCATGTTATAATGAGATTTTGTGTTGACATTTCAATGGTGTGTGATCACAGGTCACACTTGACTATGGTGCAGTGTCACATGTCAAAGCTGGTTGTGACATTTTAATGGTGTTTTGTCACATTTCAATGGTGTTTTGTCACATTTCAATGGTGTGTTGCTATATTTCAATGGCATTTTGTCAAATTTAAAAGGTGTTGTCCATTTTTATTGCATGTTGTAACATTTCCAAACACATTGCCACTTTGTATTGGTTTGTTGTCACACGCCAGCAGAAAGCAGTCACATTTCAAAATCTTCTGGAAAGTAGTAACCCTCATTTATTCATTTAATCCGAAAACCATGTACCTAAACAAACATAACAGGTAATCACAAAACTATAGCGAATAGCTGCATGTACTTACCACTGTGACACACAAAGGACAAATGTAATTAGCAAATCTAAGCTTCACTTGTCACAAGTCTTCCTGTCCAACGTACATAGAAACAGGTCACAAAGAGTCGGAGGAAACAGGTCACAAAAGTCAGTGGAAACAGGTCACAAAGAGTCGGAGGAAACAGGTCACAAAGAGATCGGACATCCGGTCCAAACAAGTCAGTGGAACCAGGTCACAAAGAGTCGGAGGAAACAGGTCACAAAAGTCGGTGGAAACAGGTCACAAAGAGTTGGAGGAAACAGGTCACAAAAGTCAGTGGAAACAGGTCACAAAGAGTCGGAGGAAACAGGTCACAAAAAGTCAATTTGCATAAAAAGTCTGCAAATATGTCTGATAAAATGTCACAAACAGGTCACACAAAAGTCACAGAAGAAGCGTGTTGTACTGTCACAGACAAAACATGTATTAAGTCACAAATGTATGAGTCACAACAAACACAGGAAAGAGGTTATTAGAAGACGTCACAAAGAAAAGTCAGAAGAGTATTTTCTGAGTGCAAATTAACACATTATTATTATTCAATTGGATGAAATATTATGCAGTAGATTTCCCCCAAATCAAATGTTTTGGTATTTTTGCCCTTAGTTAAGCTTTTATAATTTTGTGATTGGCCGTATAAAAAACCTTGATAATTCCGTTGGGTTTCTCTGGAGGCAGCCATTCGACAATAACGGTAGTTGTGCTGATCGGTCGGGCGTGGACATTGCGGGGCGGAGTTCCTGGTGCTGTAACATATAGAGGGGTGACACACTTAGTAAACTCCATAGAAAATGTCGACAAACAATATATATGCTGGTAACATCTAGTAACATTTGTAGAGCCAACCAAACATCCTCGACTACAATCTGATGGTTTAATCTCTCCCCATTCTCACAATCATATGAGAAATAAACACCATTAATCTGAAATAAAGGATCTTACAGCTGTAAACAAAAGAAATGCTGGCACTTTTGACATAAACTCTGTTTATAAACTTGGGAGTAAAAAAAACTGGCAAACATTGAATTGTTAGGTACATAAACATCTGCATCTATCATCTCAGGAATCGGGACAGTATCATCGGAAATAAAAAATATTTGGAGGCATAAACAGTGATAAGGAGAGTGTAGAGGTATAGAATGTGTTTTGTTACTTGTACAAGTCCTGGCATACGACCCCAATACATGATCAGTGATCTGTTAACGCTGCTCTAACCGACCCCAATACATGATCAGTGATCGGACATCCGGTCCAAACTTAACGCTGCTCTAACAAACCCCAATACATGATCAGTGATTTTACATCCGATCCAAACTTAACGATGCTCTAACCAACCCCAATACATGATCAGTGATCGGACATCCGGTCCAAACTTAACGCTGCTCTAACTGACCCCAATACATGATCAGCGATCTGACATCCGGTCCAAACTTAACGCTGCTCTAACCGACCCCAATCCATGATCAGTGGTCTGACATCCGATCCAATCTTAACGCTGCTCTAACCGACACCAATACATGATCAGTGATCTGACATCCAGTCCAAACTTAATGCTGCTCTAACTGACCCCAATACATGATCAGTGGTCTGGCATCCGATCCAAACTTAACGCTCCCCTAACCGACCCCAATCCATGATCAGTGGTCTGACATCCGATCCAAACTTAACTCTGATCTAACCGACCCCAATACATGACCAGTGATCTTACATCCGATCCAAACTTAACGATGCTCTAACCAACCCCAATACATGATCGGTGATCTTACATCCGGTCCAAACTTAACGCTGCTCTAACTGACCCCAATACATGATCAGCGATCTGACATCCGGTCCAAACTTAACGCTGCTCTAACAAACCCCAATACATGATCAGTGATTTTACATCCGATCCAAACTTAACGCGGCTCTAACCGACCCCAATACAAGATCAGTGGTCTGACATCCGATCCAAACTTAACGCTGCTCTAACCAACCCCAATACATGATCAGTGATCTTACATCCGGTCCAAACTTAACGCTGCTCTAACTGCAGAGCAGCACCGAGCAGGCAAAAGTTCATCTTTCAGTAAGCATTTGAAATAGACACTGATTAATAGGAATGGTAGAGGTGTCGATATATTGTACCTGTCAATTAAAACCGATTGCTGTAACGCCACCGATAACAACACCCCTACCCATCACGACCACTTTCTTACAAATAACCAAAAACAAATTCCATGTCTACAGACACTGGCCTTGAGGTTCTCCCCATGTCATTGTTCACCCTAGCTCTATTGGAGGCCTTTTGTTTGATCCCTTAGACCTTTTACTTCATCTATCTATAGTTTACTGATGTTGTTGCCTCCATACAGTTATGATAAAATCCCATTTTGAGTCATCAAATCTTAACTCAGAGTTTCCAGATTCCTTGTTTTTATGGCCCCTGTTGCTATGGAGATAAGGGAAGTCCCTTAAACAGCCCCTGTTATTCTGAGATAGCGTAATGATGATCTTGTATACATATTCTCTCAGAACTGTCACCAGAATCTCCATCCCTCCTAAGCTAATCTAATTCACCTCATACTTAAAGATAGTTACGTAAACAACACAGTATGTCTGCTAACATTCTTTTATTTTATAATGTGTTTTACTATTTCTTTTTTAAGTTTTATAGAATGTCTTAAAGATATATTTACATTTATCTTTTTTAACACACTTCAAGGGAAATCTGCCATATAACAGCAGAGTACTGCGAAGATCCGACAGCGAAGATCCGACTGTGAGCTATATCTAAACATTAGTAACCACCTAAGAATTTTCTCGTTTTATTTTAGAAACTCTAATAAGTTCCTTGATCTCTTGTTTCTATTGGAGGGAGAAAACAAAATACCAGGAGCCAATGAAAGGAGTGGATAGTGAAAACAAGGAATAAGGAATGAACCGATGAACATAAACCTCGCTAGTGTTGGTGTAAGCTCTAGATAAAGGGAGACAATCACGGTAAAATAATAAACACTTTCACACCAGGCCTGGAAAGTTCCCCAACACAAATATGAAATGGTGAGCTAGGCCTGTAGGCAACCTATGTAAAGCTGGAAATCCAATTCATTCTGGCTTTGTGATGGGCTCATAAAAGTAGCCTAGCTGGAATTGGAAGTTCTAGATCTGAGGAAAGAGCGATTCAAGACTCTAACACTGAACACCGGGAATTGCTGACTTTGGCAAATATTGCTGCTTCGTCAATTATTGAGACAGTTCAAAGGAGGTGTTTCTGTCCAATCATTGTATGATGGTAAACTCAACCAAAGGTACATGATTAGCGAACTTGTCTCGCGTTCAAAAGGGTTACATTTTATACCAGAACTTACGAGCTATCAATCAAGAAGATACCATACCTGTATTATTATATTATAGGTAATTTTGGCTAACAGCTGAATATCAATATTTTCAGTTGTCAGCTTAGACATGTAAATTGGATTACACCTGTCATCAAATGGTATTTGCCACATAGACGCAAAACCAGTGAACCTTTTCAAAAACACTATTTTATTTAGACTTGTCTCTGAAGTAAGTGCTACAGTAAGCTGTGATATTTTGAATCATAAAGTACATCTAGTCCACCAAATACATTTCATTTCCAAAATTTCCAAACGACATGTGCATTTTCTTAAAAACCTTTTTTGAACAAGAATTACTTATTTTTTATAAACCAATCAGACTCATTATTCCTATATAGTATTTCTGGCGTAAAACCTTCAACTTTTTCTGAAGTTAAAACAGCTTAAATTAGGTTTTGTGGATATTTAAGGGTCTCTAACATTATAACGATAATTTCCCAGATACGAATATAAAAGATCTTGATATTTCTATTTCAGAGCGATATCTATAAAAGAGAGAACTGACCTTCTACCTCTGACCTTCTACCTCTGACAGAACTGACCTTCTACCTCTGACAAAACTGACCTTCTACCTCTGACAGAACTGACCTTCTACCTTTGACCTTGGACCTCTGACCTTCTACCTCTGAGAGAAATGACCTTGGACCTCTGACCTTCTACCTCTGAGAGAACTGACCTTGGACCTCTGAGGAATGTTACAAGAAAGTGTTCTGAATATGAGATAGCTAGGTATTAAGTTTCTTAGACAGAAAAAACCTGATATCCCCCATTACTCATTCTTTCTCCACTCAACAGCGCAGGTTCTATCAGGTTCTATCCTTTCTCCGCCTGCCACTTTTCCAGTATAGCAGTTCTAGATATGTTCCGTGTACAGTCAGAGAACAAGACATTCTGTGGAAGCTCCAGTAAAAAAACAAAAACATCGGCAGTGTTATCAGTGTGATGACTTAAATAAGACTTTGAGTTTTCTTGTCTCTCAACTCCAGAAACACCTATTTTTTTTAGTGGAAGCTAAGATATTTGGAGGCCTGCTCTATAAACAAACGATTTTCAGCCCAGGTCAATAACAAAATCTTGTTTACATCAGCAATGTATCAGTCAACAAATTAAAACAAAGAAAAAAGTCTTAAAAACATGGAGAAAGCAAACCAATCTTTTGGAGATGTTAAAGTCAGTTAGAGCTGAGATAAAACTTAATTACAGGATTGCTGCCTGTCAGGAGGTCACGAGAGGTTACCGGCTGGTACAAGAAAGATGCTTCTGCCAAACCCAACAGGCTAGGAGATGTTTCCTTCTGTCAGCCTTGTACTACGCCTGACCATTCTTTACGACAAACACCAAAAGATAATGAATGGGTGACAGTTACAAAGTGTGACAAAACAATGAGGACCAATCTACCAACAACATACAATGTGTGACAAAACAATGAGGACCAATCTACCAACAACATATAAAGTGTGTCCCTTACTTGTGGTAACTGTCCATAACTAAACCAATCTATCGACAACGCACAAAGTGTGTCCCTTACTTGTGGTAACTGTCCATAAACTAAACCAATCTATCGACAACATATATATACATTGTAAGTGTGCCCATTACTTGTAGTAACTGTCCACAAACCAAAGTTCATCCATAAGTAGCTTGTGGGAACTGTACAACAGTCTCACTGTCCTTCCAGGCACCATTAACTTTCAATATATGTCCATTATTTGTGAGAACTGTCCATAGTCAATCTCACTTATAACAAATTATGATTGTACACAATTTCTTTCCAAGTATATTTTATGTGTAAGAATATTTGAATAAATCACCAATCTTAGTCACTTTGTTAGTATGTCAATAAGCAATCAACTAATAAAACTGAATGCTATTTTTATATCTCTCATTAAATTTATGCTAAAACAAATTATTTTCTGAAGGGATATAATTTGTTGACAATATGAAAAAATAGACAAATTAACCACATTATGTTAGGATTGTTTTTCGATGGTAATATGCCCATCAGGTTGGAGCGGTGTGTTAGATACCTGTTGCTATGTGATAGGTCTGGTTGCCAGGGAACTGTCGGAGCATGTTAAATGAGGCAATTACAGGAGGATAATGGTGAGAAGTGAAGTAACTACAGGGCTAATATGTCACCTGTAATTATAGCAGTGCTGAGGGGTACCTGTACATAAAAATCATCGTAAATATCCTCATTACAGTCTTTTCATATCACACAGAACATCTCTCATATCTACACACATGATACATAACACAAAACATAGAACATCTCTCATATCTACACATACAATAAATCACACAAAACACAGAACATCTCTCATATCTACACACATGATACATCACACAAAACACAGAACATCTCTCAT